TGTTGCAAAGTACGTTTACGAACGAATGATGTTGCTGCAAGCATGACCGCTCGAGCTCTCTACTTCGTCTTGTAGTACTAATGCGTTGAGGTCGTGTGACTTGTGCCCTTTGTCCGCCTCTCAAAGAAACATTAGCCATTACTGAGGAAGATCGTTAATAGTAAAATCCCCAAGTCGGCCAGCTGAAAACGAGAATTATCGAACAATTGCTAAGCTTTTTGCCGATTTTGGAGGGTTCCTTTGTAGGCCTCGAGGCCCTCGACCAAATATGCTAAAAAAGAGCATATTTAATATGCTCGTCGAATATCAGGGAAAACGTCCATACTATGCCAAAGGCTTAGCAAGATATGCAAAAAGATATGCCAAAATATGCTCGACATAAGCAGAAGTATAGCCTCGAGCGGCCCGCGGCCTTCGGCCTTGGGCCGCTCTCGGGCCTGAATCAACGTTCACACTTGCCACGTGATCGTTGCCACGGTTTGAGCCAATCAGAGCGCTCACAGGCAGGGCATGAACCTCTGATCATGCCCTGCCATTCAGGCCCTAGGGCTTGAATGGCACCGTAGCTAGGAGAACATGAATGATCACGTGATGGGTATACTCACACATGGAGAGACTTACATGTACCTCTCGGTGCCATTCAAGCCCTAGGGCCTGAATGGCAGGGTATGATCAGAGGTTCATGCCCTGCCTGTGAGCGCTCTGATTGGCTCAAACCGTGGCAACGATCACGTGGCAAGTGTGAACGTGTAGATCATTTCTGTAAAATTTCAACCTTGGAATATTCATTGGCTTCACGGCTAGGCTTCACGGCTATCATGCTTATACCCGAATAATGGTGCAAATCAAAACACATGCGGAATAGTATGGCTGGGGTGTCTCCCCAGCAACCGTAGCGGTTGGCAATCACCCACTCTCGTAATATTGGCCGGTGTTTCCGTCGAGTCTTGAGATGTTGCAATAAATAAATAAATAAAATAGTGTTCATCCATGGGGAAATGTCACAGTAGCAAAGCTTCAACCATTCCAAATTCATCCATAAAAGGCATTTCTGAACACATTTTGTCCATAATATGAATGTTTTGTCCTCATTTTCTTCAGAATATTTGAATTATATGCTGCCTTCATTCCAATATTCCCTTTGTCGCTCAATATGCCATTATGAACTGTCTCACAAAAATAAGCGGAAATATGCGCAAGCATTTTGGTCGAGGCCTATTCCTTTGAGAATCGCCGAAAATCTACCAAATCTTCCAAGGCAATATTTCACCAATTTTGAAGCCAATAGGCAATATGCCAACAATTCTTTTTGCCCGGCGATTTTCCAATATACATGTATTCCAAATTTTCAGCCGATTATCGAACGATCAGCTGATTTTGCAGCCAAATCTGATGTATTTTTTGAGCTTAGCGAAAAAAGATTTGCTTGATTTGGGGAAAGCCTCGTAGATTCTACGTCTGGCTGGTTGCAGGCTGGGATCTCCCCTTTATTACGACTCCTAGAAGGCTAGATCCTATTTGCAGGGCGCCGCTTTCTGGCTTTGCTAGCGAGCGGCGTTTGTTAGTTTGCGGTCTGGGAACGAGATTGCGTGCGTGGCATAAAACAAAATGGCGCCTGTCACAGGCAGCGGATTTCACACGCACAAAGAATGCAACGTCAAAAAAATTTCGTACAAACAACTTGAAAATTGATTGACAAGTCTTCGATCTTGGAGCTTCATCATCAGTTCACAAACATACACAATCGTTATACTTTGCTTTGAAACTTAGTTAGTTTTTGTTTGAACATGAGCTGGGATAGTCAGGCCAGGCCGCCAGGCCAGCCTGGTGCAGGAATGATGACTGGCCAGAGGTCAGGTGGACCGATGCAAGGTCACTCGGGATTTGCTGGACCACCGATGCAAGGCGCTCCACCATCCATGCCACATCAGAACATGGTTGGTCCACCAATGCAAGCTGGTCCTCCTGCAGCAGGGCATGCTGCCATGCCAGGTCAGCCTGGTGGACCTGCGGGTATGCAAGGACACCCAGGTGCTGGCCAAGGTCAGCATCAGCAGCCACCGAACATGATGCCCCCATCAAGTCCTGCTGGTCCTCGCCCGATGCAAGGCCAAATGGCAGGTCCTCCGGGTGCAGGGTCAATGGCAGGTCCTGGAGCTGGTCGCATGGCAGGTCCAGGTGCTGGTCAAATGGCAGGTCCTGGTGCTGGTCAAATGGCAGGTCCTGGTGCTGGTCAAATGGCAGGTCCTGGTGCTGGTCAAATGGGTCAAATGGCAGGTCCCAGACCTGGATCAGCTCCTTCACAGCAACCACCTGGTGGGCCAATGCAGAGTCAACCTGGATTTGCTGGACCTCCGATGCAAGGTGTCCCACCATCAATGCCACATCAGAACATGGCTGGTCCACCAATGCATGCTGGCCCTCCTGCGGCAGGGCATGCTGCCATGCAAGGTCAGCCTGGTGGACCCAACAGTGCGCAAGGACATCCAAGTATGGGCCCTGGCCCAGGACAGCAGCAGCCACCAAACATGATGCCGCCGTCAAGTCATGCTGGCCCTCCACCAATGCAAGGCCATCCCGGTGCTGGTCAGATGGCGGGTCCTCCTGGTGTGGGTCCCGGAGCTGGTCACATGGCAGGCCCTCCTCCAATGGGAGGTGCCGTTCAAATGGCAGGTCCTGGAGCTGGTCAAATGGCAGGTCCTGGGGCTGGTCAAATGGCAGGTCCTGGGGCTGGTCAAATGGCAGGTCCTGGGGCTGGTCAGATGGCTGGTCCCGGAGCTGGTCAAATGGCTGGTCCCGGCGCTGGACAGATGGCAGGACCTGGAGCTGGTCCGGCTGCTCCTCAGCAGCGCATCTCACCTGAATCCACACCTCATCCGGTGGGTTATGTGAACACTGTCCTTTTACATTGTGTTTGAGCACAGCTTTGTTTTTACATGTGGTCACCCTTTCCTTGAGTAGCAGGAAAGTTCATGTATTCTAGTGAGGTGTTAGCGTGATAGAAGCTATCAACAGGTGGTGCAAGACCTCCCCACCCACACATGCTTATCTACCCTGTTTAGTTGGTGCTCTAGTGACATGGGGTGATGGAGTGCATTGGGTGGACGAGTGCTTGCTCGACAACTTGAAGCTCAATAGTGAGTTGACTGTGGGTCGCACCTGAGCTGAGATATCTACCAATTGCAATTACCGTAAAATCCCGCCAGGGCGCCCCTACCTCCGCAACCATTCGAGTAGATCCATTTGGGGAGGGGCGGATAGGCGAGTCCTGCTTGCCGCATTCAGTACTACATAAAACGTACTCACCCTACGAAATATGTGCGTGCGTGCGTCTCGTACACCGACCAAAGGTCAAGAGCTGGGAGTCGTACAGACCCATCAAAAACCAGGTTTTTGTGATCCCACTGGTCAAGGGAGGGTGCGAACTGTTGCGTACTTCCAACCAGGTCGAGGACGCGTCTGCAGTACAGTACGGCCTCGCGCACTTCACAGAGTCATACGAGGATACAATCATCACTTCCCTGACAAGAAGTCAGGGAAGGGCGCATGGGAAAGACGGGGCGCTCTGGCGGGATTTTACGGTACTAGTAATATTGAGCACAGAAGAGAATTGGGTATTAGTAAGAGAAATAGTGTGCACTGTTTATATTAAATAACCGACGAGGAGACAACAGTCGTAAAATAGCAATGAATAAAACTGACAAAACATGTACTGTAAACATACAAATTTTCGGCAGCTATTTAATTTCGGCTATATTCGGCACCGACCCAAAACGCCTAAATTAAAACGCCGATGAAATTTTTCACAGCATCTGTCGCACTATACCATGCCCTCTACCCAACGCCGAAAATAAATCGCCGCCGAAATGTTAAAAATCGTGAAGTGCCGAAATTTTGCAGCGCCGAAATTTTGTATATTTACAGTAATTGTTTTATACATGGTTATGAGTGCACAATTAGTTTTATTCATTGCTATTTTACGATTGTTGATATTAGCTGTCCCTTTTGCCTTTGAAACACTCAGTAGATCGCTGGATAGTAGGGCTCAAACGGTCACGGTTTTACCCCTGACGGTTAACTGCTAAGCTAACGGTCGGTTAACCGGTTATAACCTATAAGCCACGGCAATCCTGCGGACTCTTTTTTAACCGTATATTTGACTATACTCATTCAAAAAATGTAAACTATTCAGTACAACGCACACTTGTACATTCTCTTGCATGCTCATTCATACATACTCTCACACCAAGAGACCAGATATGACCGAGTTGACAGCCCAGAAATTGCGTACGCGTGCGACAGCCCGCGAAAGTGCACACTTTGCAACGACCTGATACTTGAAAAATTGACTGAAAAGTTACTGCGTAACCGTTATCTTTATCGGCTAACCGTTAATTCTTCGTAACCGGTCTGCAACCGGTTAATCGGACTAATCGTTTGAGCCCTACTGGATAGCTTAACCATATACTTGTTTTGTCTGTGTGTGCGCGTGTGCATGTGTGTGTGTGTCTTTGTGCGTGCGTGGGGGCGTTCATATGTTCATGATTGTGTTCACTTTTCATACTTTGTGTGTTCTTAGTTGGCAGTATGGCAGGCTGATTCTGACCTGTATACTGGGAAAACCTTCTACACCAATACACCCAGCATGGTTCCGCCGCTCCCGATGACGTCATGCCATATCGTTGATCAAGGTACGGTTCTTTTAGTTGCCCCCGAGTTTATGGGTGTCCAGGCGGAGGCTCGATTTAACGTGTACTTAACGTATCCGTGTTGTAATGGCTGGTGGTGTATGCCAGGATGTACAATTTACAGAATAATATCTGCTGATTTACGTATAGTGTAAAGTATCGGTATGTAGTGGTTGCTTTTTATCATATTGTTCTGACTTTTTCCTTTCATTTAGTGTGTTAATGGAATACGTTTTGTCGTTTGATTCCTCCAGGAAACTGTAGTTCTCGGTTCATGCGCTCCACCCTCTATAATGTGCCGGTTGCTCAAGAGATTCTGCACAACTGCAATATTCCTCTTGGCCTCAGCATTCAGCCATTTGCCAAGGTTCCCCAGAGAGAGGTTAGCGACTTTTCTATCGGTATCTCCTCTATTTTGTGTACCGGCACTACGATATGGAGGTTTTGCCAGGCTTGCGCTCCAATGAACGTCAAACTTAGTGACGAAATTCGCATACTGTAAAACATGTAATTTTCGGTGTAACTTTAATTTCGGTGATTTCGGTAGAGAAACCAGGCACCTAAATTTAAATTACACCTAAAAGTCACCAGAGTATGCACTGCATGTGAAGGGAAAGCTGGTCACCTAATTCTACGTTACACCTGAAACCTGGCAGGTCCCTGGCACCTAAAATTACATGTTTTACAGTAGTGGGAAGTCACGCAGAAGTCACACTTGCACGGCGTGGACAAGTCGTATATGTACACACAGTGTAATGTAGGATATGTATGACTGTCCTGGCACGAGTCTGTGATTCGTGTTCCGACTGCTTTTCCGAACGAAAAGTGCAAAAGTTCGCATTCCAGTTTGTGGCCTGAAAAGTGCGCGCGATCTTGTGACGCTAAACCTCCGTAATGTTCTCCGTTCATGTGTGTTAAAAAAATTATCGATGCTGCTGTAGTAGCTTACCCAGTATCTACCCTCTTTACAGCATTGCTTTGCGGCTTTGAAGCACATGTCCAGTCACTTCTGGCTCAGTTCCTCATTCATCCATGGCATGTACATGTACACGTTTTACAGCAGATGCCCTGACTTTATTTCTATTGGATGTTGTTGGGTTTTTTTTTGATTTTCACATTGTCAGAACACAATATATGTGGTCAACAACGGAGACACTGGTCCAGTAAGATGTCGGCGTTGTAAAGGATACATCAACCCGCATGTCAGCTTTGTCGATGGTGGTCGCAAGTTTGTTTGCAACCTTTGCAACTTTGCGAATGAAGGTAAATGCTATGACTTGTGTTCCTGTCTGGAGTCAGACACAGCTGTTACGCCTAATAAAGGAATGTTGCTGATGTTGCTACCACTCCTGCCAGTGATTGTCCGCTTTTTTCTATATAGCCTTTTTACCATTTTCTTTGTTATGGTACTTGTTTGATTCCTTACTAGAGCTCATCATGTGCTGCCGGCAATCGACTTTCTATTCCCTGTGCATGCTACCAAGACTATATAAGCTCCCAAGAGGGTGTAACTCCTGATACCATTTCTATGGGGTTCGCCGACGGCGAAAACTCGCATCACATGGCGTAGTGTTCCAGTTGTACGTTTCCAGCCTGTTTTTAGCGAGCAGCGGAGTAATAAAAAAAGCACTCTAGTATTCCAGTTGTACGTTTCCAGCCTGTTTTTAGTGAGCAGCGGCGTAATAAAAAATGCACTGAGTCTCTGACAGAAACTCACTGCGCGTATGCAACTCGCCAGCATGATCATTGCAGATATTCGGATTGCGCGCACGTGTGTACGTAGTACGAAACGTACTTGAGACACGTGATGTGCGTTTTCGCCGTCGAAGACCCCATATTCGGAGTTGCACACTCTTGGGAGCTTATACTCTTGGTGTTACTGTATGTTCGCTTTACTATTGTCTGGGTTCTGCAATGCTTTTTGAATCCTCTTTGCATGTTTTTGTTTCATTTTATTCACAGTACCCGACCACTATCAGTGCCAGCTGGATCAGCATGGCCGTCGTCTTGATGCTAGCGAACGCCCAGAGTTGTCCTACGGTAGCGTGGAGTTCCTGGCGACTACTGACTATTGCAAGGTACAGGCAAATGGGCTCACGGCTTGTAAATGTTCATTGCAGTCGCATTAGCTCCGAGTCTCTGGTATTGCAGTTGCATTAGCTTTGAGTCTATTGTATTGCAGTTGCATTAGCTTTGAGTGTATGGTATTGCAGTACACCCTGCACTTGTACTGTGTTAATCTAAAAATTCATGTTGTCAGTCTTGCTGTGATGGCACGATTGATCTCGCTTTGTTTAATATACATACACGATGTATATGGACGGTACCTGAGTGCCTGCTGGCAGGACATATACATCTCAGGCTGGGCCATGCAGGTATGAAGCAGCAGAAGTTGTGAAGCATGTGGATGTTCAACCTTGGCTGAGTTTTTTTTAACCGAGACATTCTTATCTTCAAATTCGGATTATTCCGCACCTGGTGAGGCAGTCCCACCTTGAAAAAAACCTTATGTGAAGTTGTAGGCAGGCTCTTACTCACTACGCTTTCCCTTGGGTTTCTTCACAGTGCATGGTTTTGTGAATATCTATCTGCCTGATATGAAACAGGAAAGTAAATGGCCAGAGCCACCAGCATACATCTTCCTCATTGAAGTAACGTATCAGAGTGTCAGCTCGGGCCTTCTCAACTTGCTTAGCCGCATGCTCCGACTTATCTTCGATGAGCTTCCCAAGTAAGTTTGCCTGGCTTATCGGTAGCACACATAGCTCCTGGGTGTGCATATTGCTGTAGCTGTGTGTGTGTGTGCGTGTGTGTGTGTGTGTGTACAGTCTCTGCCTATGTCGCTCTCATGCAAGAAATTGTACACATACATGTACAATGTAACATGCGCCACTAATTTATCAGTACATGTAGAAGGTAGCGCATGGCTTCGGTTGACAACTTCAGAAATCTGGCACCGAGGTTTTGGCACTTTACAACATCATGTGCATGTATGCCAGTCAGTGTGAGGACACGTGGGGGGGGGGGGGGGGGGAGACACTCAGTGTTGAGTTTAGATTTACAGTTTACACCTGCCACTCTTGAGGCGCAGCTGCCAATGTGTAATTTGTGTCGAGAACATACTCCGATCAGTGTGAAACCATGTCTAAAAGTTACGCAATTATTGTGATGTGGCAGTGTTTGTTGTACTTGTTCTGTAACTCTGGCAAGGAGCCCATTCTGATATTCCAATATAGCCTGTTGGTTAATTCACTGCCATCGTTATCTGAGCATTTAGAGAGTAGTACCAAGAAAGAGTTTGCTCTCCTGAAGACTGAGGAGTGCTCTCTGTAAGGAACAGTCTAGCTAGTTACGTCAGCTACCCCATTGAACAGCAATGTCTAGCAGATCCAGGGCGGGTTTTGTGTACAAGCACTGCGTGTATCTGCACTACTGGCCTGCACTGCTATACTGCTGGAGTGAGTTGTTGAGAAGTTGGTGCGGTCACCTTTTCCGGCCAAGCCTTTCTTCCCATCTTGTCTGCTACGCAGAAGGGTAACTGGCCTGTTTGTGTGGATACGAGTGTGACTGTGTGTGTGTGTGTGTGTACATGGTGTGTGTGTGTGCGTGTGTGTGTGTGCGTGTGTGTGTGTGCGTGTGTGTGTGTGTGTGTGTGTGTGTGTGTGTGTGTGTGTGTGTGTGTGTGTGTACATGGTGTGTGTGTGTGTGTGTGTGTGTGTGTGTGTGTGTGTGTGTGTGTGTGTGTGTGTGTGTGTGTGTGTGTGTGTGTGTGTGTGTGTGTGTGTGTGTGCTGGCATACGTGTGCTATAACTATGATGCTTTTCAGGGATACTGGTGAGCAGAAATCAAAAGTCCGTATTGGTCTGGCAACTTTTGATAACACCGTGCACTTCTACAACCTTAAGGTCAGATTTAGTCAGCTTTATTTTGCTTTGTATTTGGCTGGTGTAACGCTTTTGCTATTGACACGTATTTCAATCGAATTATTCTCGTCAATAGTGTTACATGTGCGTTTGTACCGACCTACTAAATCTTCCAAAGGAAAATTGCTAGTGTATCTTTCTGCTGATGTGTTTTGCATGCTCTACTCCATTGATTACTTACTTCCTGAAGCGGTGACCATGTTTTATGACTTATGACTTGACTGTGGCCGTATGCAGGCATCCCTAGCGCAACCGCAAATGATGGTTGTGGCTGACGTCAATGATGTTTTTCTGCCCTTGCTGGATGGGTTCCTTGTCGATGTGGAAGAGTCGAGCTCTTTGATCGAGGCGTAAGAGAGTGTTCTTGGAGTGGTGGACTTTGACGTGTTATGATGCATAACATTGTGCGATGTAGTAATGTGCCCAACTGCTGTACATGCATTGCTTGGTGCTGACTTGTTGATGTACATTGCCGTTCTCCTGTGTTCCGCCCAAAACGAATGGGTGCCCTCATAGCCACTTTTTTTAACATACATGTGTCTGGTTTGACAGACTAGTATTTTAATTCCCGTAGCTATGCAAAAGACGTTACTTCAGTAATGTCTGGCGCTAGCCAGGGTCCACACAGCTTTTATTCATTTTATATATCTTTGGTGTCTGCTTTATGTGTGGTTCAAATCTGCCAAAGATAATACCGACTATGTTATCTCTTTTGTCCTGTGTATACAGCGTACTCCAAGAGCTGCCTAACATGTACAGAGAGACACGTGAGACAACGTCTTGCCTGGGCCCAGCAGTACAGGCTGGTTTGGAGGCACTCAAGGTATGTTGTACCTCCCCTGTCTTGGGGCTTCTCAGCCTTTGCTGCGAATGCGTGGTGTGCCATTCCAGTCCCCTTGTTATGCCAGTAACTGTTATTGTGCTGCTACTGAAGTAGTTCATGTCTTTGTTGCTGCTACTGCTGCTGCTGATGATGATGATGCTGCTGCTGCTGCTGTTTTAATGCAGGCAGCAGGATGTGCTGGAAAGTTGTTTGTGTTCAGCTCATCTATGCCGAAGGGTGACATGCCTGGTATGCTAAAGAACCGAGAGGATCGCGCTCTGTTCAGAACGGACAAAGAGAAGGTGAGTACCACAGATGGATAGTTTTTTTTCTGTGTTTGTGACACAGTGCTTACAACTGGTGATCCTGTACGACAGGCAGAGCAAATGCGATGTGTGTTTCATTGTGCTGGCAAGAACCAGGAGGTTTGAAATGCCACTGCTTGCTTCGTTCTGTTTTTGGCTTTGTGTACTCTGCCTCGGAGCATGTGTCTGCTCCATGTATTAACCATTTAGCGTGCATGGCTCGAAATCAAACCATAGAAACTTGGGCACTCACGCATGTACTCTATTGATCGTAACTCAGTCAAATCTCAACCGAGATTCAAAATCGAAATACCTAGCAGGTAGCGGAGAGCCTCAGCTGCCGGCTCGAATAACTCCCAGCTCTCTACGGTGAATTTTGAGCGAACCGCGTACGATCAAACTTTCACGCTTTTGCACTGAACAAAATTTCACAATTGTTGGCGCAGGGATTTCCCCTGTCTCGGCCACGACTGAGTGTGACATCACTCCCAAAAAAGATGGCCACGGATGTGTTGCATGTTCTCGGAAAAAAAATTGAAACGTGAAATGGCAGGACGAGCGAGTTTGGCGACTTGACCTGGAGTTGTTGTGGCGTTCCTGGAGTTGTAACAGCGAACACTGATGGATCCTCATGATGAGTTTGGGATCGTTGTTCTCCTCTCTCCAAGAGCTTTCCAGCGACTAAAATCGGTGAAGTACAACTCATGTTATGGTGGAAAATTGAACAATTAGTAAGCACATTGTTGCAAATTTCCTAACGTGGTTTGACCAGTGGCACTCTAAAGGGTTAACTTTCGTATTGGCATGCCTGTCTTTGGTTTAGCCCAAATGAATACGGATTGGTTTATGTACCTGGCAGTACCTGGGGTGTTCAAACTTCCTGCCACCGGTCACACCACATAACCATGTACGGTGATGTGGTTATCATTTACTGGTGTCTGTGATGTCAATCGAGAAGCTCAGGTCATTGTTCGATTTACTAATACTTGATTTGCAATGGTTTCCATCTGCATGCTCCTGTTCTGGACCAGCGTACTTGAAGGTGCCCGTTTCATGGTGCGTGCCGCACGAAATCTGTGGTACCTGTGTGCCAGAAATTCTGCTATGCCAGAGACTTTTAAAGAAGCAGAAAAGAAACAGCGTGTGCTCATGCAAATAGTACATTGTGTTTACATGTGCTAGGTTTTAGGCTTGCTTGTGCTGATTTGTTCCCTGGCTGTGCTTGTCTGTTTATTGTTGGTGGCATTGTTGGTGGCGGATCGTGCTGAGCGCAGAATCTCTATGCCCCGCAGAACCCGTTCTACCCCGACCTAGGTGCAAACTGTGTCAAGCAGGGCGCCTGCATAGAAATGTTCAACTGCTCGACGGCGAGCTTTGTCGACATTGCCACAATGTCCAGTATGGTGTCCGCCACCGGTGGCGAAATCCACCTCTACCCCTACTTCAATGTAAGTGTGCGCGCGCGCGCGCGCGTAATTACCAGCCAATACAGTACCGGAGGCAGAAGTATCTGGTTGTTGTGTGGTACTATTTTCACAATTTGCCATTTCTTGTAGTCTAGGAATTAGGGATGAAACAAGTGTACCGATAACTCGCATATCGATTGTTGAGAGTGCAATCGATGATCGTTAGTGTTCAAAACGAGTGCTACCGGTTTTGTATGCATGTATATCAGTGACAGTATTCTAGCCTTTGCACTCCATCCGATATTGAATACTAGTACAATCATGTACTTTCAAGCGCGGTAAAATAAGATTTATGGCTTTGAAAGAGATCGGGAGAGAAGACTTTATCTTTTCGGTTCATTTGTGGGAAAGGTCGGAGATAAGAGCAGTTGCCGAAGGGTGATGACAAGATTCTTCGCTCTGGTGTTCGAGGTACGCGGGTTGAGCCGACAAGAATCGATAAAACCAATAATTATATCGATCGTTAATGATATTGGTTGATCGTTAAGAGTTATTGAATGATCGTTTCAGCCCTACAAGGAATTATGTCTTGATCATCCACTTTTGATAGCAAGCCGATATCATACTGTTTTGCCTTCGTTCACTTGGTGGTACCTATCATTACATCAAGAAGCAAATGTGTATATAAGCCTTATTATAAGGCCAAGTAAAACATTTGATTGTTTATTGTCAGCGCCCGCTCCGAATTTTCGCCCTCCCGGCCAGATTGTTATATTTTTTAGTTCTGGTAAATGTACTGTATGTACTGCGATCTACGCCTATACGGCCTCTAATCAGCATGGCTGTAGATCTTGGAAGGCCAAGTCCACAGATTGAACCATACTACATGTAGAGATTATTAGCTGCCTGATATTCTTTGTTGTCCTGCGTTGGTTGTTTCACTTTTCCTTTTTGCATCCTCAATAATTATTATCTCGCAAGATGTTATTCCTGATTGATGATTCGCCTGCACCACATGGATTATCTCACTCTGCGCAAAATTGGCTTCCGAAAAAGAGTAGAGAAGAAAAAGGCATGTCGAGGGGTTGCGAACACCTACCATATAAGTCATATATGGTAGGTGTATGCAAAAAAATAAAATGAAATACCTCCCGTCCGCCCCGATTTCTTGGGAAAATCTGACGATAAACAATCAATATATTTTACATGGCCTAATGTGCCGGGTATTGTCTGATTTGCCTTTTTTCAGATTCAAACAGATGGCGAGCGCTTGGTGAAGGACCTTGCTCACTCTGTGGGACGGCAGACCGGTTTCGATGCTGTAATGCGTGTCCGTTGCAGCTCAGGTATGTCTCACAGACTTTCTCTACATGTGCATATGAAGAGCTTCATAGCCCTGTGCTTACAAGTATATGTCTCACTTGTCATACTATCTCATGGCCTTTTTATTTTTATCCTTTGGGACCTGAAGTACGATATACCGTATTTCCCCAAATATAAGTCGCACCTTTTTACACTAAACTCAAGGGTAAACAAAGGGGGTGCGACTTACAATCGAGCAAGACTTACTACTGAAGTGAATATATCAAAACATGATCGCTCCAACCTGAAAATGGAGGTGCACCTTATAATCGACTGTGACTTATAATTGGGGAAATACGGTGATAATAATAATGTATAATCGAATTTGCATGTTGCACTGGCACTAAACAAGTATATTTCTGTTGTTCCTTCGCCGATTGTCGTAAATGTAGTGTCTATACTTCGAAGAGAACCTTGTCTATCACGTCGAAAATCTTCCGAAATCTCTTGGAGTTTGACACCACCATAATTAGCATCGGAGTACAAACTTAAAGTTCTGCTTTGATCGTCAATTTGAGCTCATGGCGATGCACAACGTGCAACAAAATATTGCGCTTGAGACTAGCCTTGCGCTGCAGTTTGTTTCAAGTCTACATGTATGTTTTGGAGGAGAATGGACTAGCAGCTGTTTGAATGTTGCCGAAGGAGGTTTGCTCATGGCTACTGTTTTTGGCGGTCCTTACAGTCCCTTCATGTAAAATAGGCCCTCTGGCCCGATTGTGGCCGAATTGAGGCTCGAAAACCTATTCTAAATCGAGGAATCAGGGGTTGGACCTGCTTCTCCACACACTTTGACATGGTACACCTGTCCCAGTTTTCTAAAACCTGGCTGAACTTCTAGTATTAGGCCATTCACACGACGTGCAACCACATGCATGCACGTGTGTGACCAAGATATCACTGGCTAACCGTGATGCAGTTCACACGGTGCTGGGCAAACTTCGCACGCATCAATGTATCCATAGTGACCTGAAAATGCCGGGAAATTTTAAATTTTGAATTTTCCTTTGAAAACAGCATCAACAGAACCACCCACAGCCCAATGGGAGGCTGCAAACTCCGGGCCAGCACGACCAACGGAGATAGCGGCAGCATTTCCAGTTCCACCTAGGGAACTGTCAGAGAAAGAGAGACTACGGAAAGAAATGAAGAAAGACGCTGCCATTAACACAGAGAACCGCCAAGAGTCCACGAACAGCCTTTTCTCACGCGGAGCTGGCGGCGTGTCACGCTTCATTCCCACAAGCGACACTGGCGGAGCAAATCTAGACGATGACGTCTTCGCCAGCAATGGATGGAGCCCGGCACTACCAACGCTGCAAATATATGCGGAGCTGCCTGACCGGGTGCAGCGTGCACTTTCAACAACCGACACTTTTGCTCGCGTGCAAAGTATAATCGTGAGCACAAGGGTCCTGGCCAAGTTCGAAAATCAGTTGCACGCGTGTGTCCAAGTTTATCGTATGCGAGTAAGGGGTCGTCGCAAAAGTTTTTTTGTCGTCTCTGAAACGAACATCTTTCGTTTGGGGGGGGGGGGGGGGTAGGGGGTACAGATCAAATTTCGCCATTTTCGCGACGATCACACATTTGCGAATGTAAAGCGTCGCACACTGCTCTGTAAATTAACTGTAGACAGTACAAGATCCGAATGAAGAGATAAAATCGCGAAAGTTTCTCGTCGTGAACGAGCGCAATTCTTGAAAACGCGAAATTTGCGCGACGCAAAAGTTATCGCTTTACAGTAGCACACCCAGCCTTTCAGCCTGCGCCACTGCCATAGTTCAGGGGCACCCTTAAAGCGCTTGCTCCCCAAAACGATGCTGCTTCACCAAGACATAGCGTTGCAAGAGAGCGCCACCATCTTTACCGTCTTGGCACATTTTCAGAGTATAATTTTAAAAGGGGTCCTTTCTGTTGTACTGTACCGGACTTCAGAGATGTGAATGCGTGCGTGCATGTAACTGTGTGGATTGTCTGTTCTAGGCCTGCGCGCAACTGATTTCTGGGGCAATCTGCACATGAACAACACGACAGACGTGCTTCTCGCTGGTGTGGACTGTGATAAGGTAGGCATGGACTGTTCTTGAGCGTACGTTCACATGCATGTGCTAGAGGGGAGTACTGTATGCAGTCTCACACGCCTTCACCACACCCAAACCCTTCAACTGCAGTACGTAAAACACATGCTCGTGTGCTTGTGCATTGCATCCTTGATCGATATTGCCGGGCAGTTTGAGAATTATTGAGAAAATCCACTTAGCTATATAGTATATGCATTCAGATGCCCTTTCCCGGCAAGGCTAAAGGTTGCACCCATTAGGTAAATAAATGCCTGGCTGGACTATTTCTGTGTAGTCAGCCAGGTGGAATATGGTGTGCAACAGAAGATCTGCCTGACCTGATGCTTGGGCTGAGCGAGCGGTATGAACCGCTCACTAACCTCTCCTGAGCTACTGTACCAGGCAACAATGCTGAACTAGCACTATCGTTCTTTTGGGTCATAGCCGTTTTTGTCCACGCGGGACATTAGGTTCTGAATTTGAACTTAGAATTGTACGCTCCTTGGTGGGGTTTGCCTGTTTCTGCCTGGTGTGTCAGGTCCACTCTCAAGATGTGTGTGTGTCTGTGTCTGTGTGTGTTCGTGTGTGCATTTGTTTGTTTGTGTGTGCATTTGTTTGTTTGTGTGTGGTGATGGTGGTTGTGTGTGTGTGTGTGTGTGTGTGTGTGTGTGTGTGTGTGTGTGTGTGTGTGTGTGTGCGTGTGCGTGTGCATGCGTGCGTGCGTGCAGGCCATCTCTGTGGAAGTGAAGTATGATGACAAGCTAGGTGAAGAAGGAGCACAAGCTTACTATCAGGTACGGTGTATGTGGCAGTTTGTGTTTGGTTTTATTTTTGACTTTGCATTAAGAATGGGGTGTCGCTTGCTGGGTATTGAAGCTGGGGAGATCTGGATATGCTTGTCCCTCAGTACAACAGATCCAAGTTCGTTACTTCCTTCTTTCAGTGCTACACAGTGCCCCGTTGCTGTCGTGGCTGATGTAGTTGTGTGTGTGTGTATGTTCCTTGTGTTCGTGGCTACAGGTTGCTCTCTTGTACACGTCTGTGGGTGGCCAGCGTCGTCTTCGGCTTCACAACCTGGCCGTGAGCTGCACAAAGCAGCTAGCTGAGGTCTACCGGTGTGCTGATATGGACACCATCATGAATATGTTCCTCAAGAAAGGTGAGAGGGCTCTGACTTTCTCGCAATTTGCCCTTGTGTGTCGTACATACAAAGTGTGCTGGTAATATATAACTGGCAATCGGAGTCTGGTGTTGATCACAAAAAATAGTGTACTCACATGTTGGTTCTTTTGGCAAAGAGTTGAATTCTTGATTTAACTTGTTCCTTGCGCACTGCATTCTTTTTTTCTTCTGCAGCCGTACGTAAACTGCAAGACACGCCATACAAGAGTATCCGAGGTCATTTACTAGAGCAGAGCATTGCCTTGCTGGCGTGTTACCGCAAGGAATGCTCCGAGCCGGCATCGGGTGCTCGGGTAAGCTCCTTGCGCAGCCTCTCATCTTGTCAATGTGTGTGTGTGTGTGTGTGTGTGTGTGTGTGTGTGTGTGCATATGGGTATGTAGCGATGGCTACTGTCATGCCAATGAAGGTGCACGGTTTTCAACTGGTTGCGTTTGTGTGATATAGCCTGCAACTACAATGCTGTTCTCGTCTATGGTGTGCTTTGTGTAGCTGATATTGCCCGAAGCGCTGAAACTGCTGCCACTCTACGTATGCTCCCTAATCAAGTGCGAGGCCGTCTGTGCGCGTAAGTTTAGTTATAAATGTTGAGGGGGTGAGGGTCTTTTTACTCTTGTTCATGTATGTTTCAGAAGCTCTCTGAACGTTGATGCTTATGCATCGCTAGCAAAGAGCTGTGACATGTCATCAGCATAATAGTGCTGCTGGAACTGAAGCTTCGAGAAAGAATCGAATGGACGAAGAGCCTAGTTTGTCTCTGTTTTGCTTCTACTTCACCTATGCCCCTCTCGCAGAGTCAGACAGTCGCATTGACGACAAGGCATGGCTGATGCACCAGGTGACGTGTATGCCTGTCACCGCCTCTGTACCTTACCTCTACCCAACTGTCATGCCCGTGGTAAGTGCACTGCTCCAACTGCTGCTTTCTGCCGCCTGGTGAATACTTTCTGTGCGCCTTTAGATGAAGCCATCCAAGTTGCTGCACATGGACGAAAGTCACACCATTAGTGGTGTGACCACATACATGTACAGGCTACATATGGAAGAAAGTCACACCAGTAGTGGCGTGATCTCATTCTGCAGAGTTGTTAGATCAGTATTTTTCTTGGCGCATGTGTTGACTCTGACACTTCAAGCCGATACCGACATACGTTCAAACTTCATTTTCAAAGTGTCACGCTGTACACATGTTACAGTCATGTACTCAAACATCTTGGTCAACCAAGTTAGCCATTTTGCTGCCTTTGCTTACTTCACGTCGCCTTCCTCGCTGTTGCATTCTGCATGTACTGTCCCAACTCGTGTCGGTTACGGCTGGGCTGGGGTTGATTCACGCAATAAGAACGTTACCAGACCGGTATAGGCATTAGTAGATAACAACTTTGCTTTTTGTTGCCATTTAATGTGTGATGCTAGCACACTGCCCGACCTGATGACAAAGGCCTTCCGGCACCGATTCGCTGTTATTACGAAGCACTTCAGCAGGAGGGCATTTATCTCCTGGGTAAGCTCAACCGCACTTGTGTGTTCTTTGCTGTCATTGGCTATTGGTATGATGTGTTGTGTAGTACGATCATTGGATAGCTAATTGATTTGACAAGCAGATCACACCCGGGCACACGCTGCACCTGAGCACAGTCTACTTGCAATGCAGCTTGTGCTTGTAAATCATCGTACTCGCAGTACTCCGCACACCTTGCGAATGGGACAGCGTGTACTTGTACATATGGGTGCAGTGCCCATAAGTCATTCGGCTTCGTCCCAGGAGAGTGTGTGACTTGTCAAGAGTTTTACTCTACCATTGTGCATGGGCACAAAGTGCACACCGAACAGTAGTTTTCCAAGTGTCCACTGTTCCAGCCCTGCCTAATTGAGCGCTCCCTTGTGCTTGGTGCATTGCTGCAGAGCAGCTGTGGCCGAGGTTCTTGTACATGTAACATGGTACATTGACTTGCACTGCATTGTTACCTTCTCAGAGCACTGCATTGTTACCTTCTCAGAGCACTGCATTGTTACCTTCTCAGAGCGTGCCAGTGTGCGGGAGACTTTATAACTTTTTTCTGTGTGGATGCGCGTTTCTTCTCTTGCAGAGAATGGCTTTGTGCTTATCCTGTGGCTGGGCCGATTCACACATCCAGCTTGGGTGAAGGATGTGTTTGGTGTGCACAGCTTGGCTGAGATTGACACTGAAAAGGTATGTGCATCCAATGTTGTGCTGGCAACGCTCTCTCAACGTTCTTTCACTGTTCACTTGTGATTCGTAGTTGTGAAGCTGAGTTTTGAATGGCGAAGGGATTCTTCTCATTGTTGCGGTTGCTGTTGGGGCTGTTACTGCTGCTGCTCCTGTTGTTGCTGTTACTGTTGTGATATCTGCCTTCTCATGAGAGGATAATTCTTCAAGTGCACAAAGTGCTGACTGTGCCTCTTCGGACTGCTCTCCTTTCTTTTGAAGAATGGCTTTTGTTTCTGGTCATGTAATGTGTGTACGTGGTTGTACTTCCATGCTGTTTCATCTGCAGTTTGGCAAACTTCAAGTATTCGACAATCCAACATCCACTCGACTGCGTGCCATTGTGGCACAGCTTCTCGCGCGCCGTAGCCATTGCATGAAGGTACTTGCACAGTGTGTGTGTGTGTGTGGGGGGGGGGGGGGGGCTCGTTTATATTGGGCTGCCAGGAAGCAATCGGAACCTGTTGAGCTTCTGTTCTTCCCGCCACATTATCTTGAGGATATACATGTATTGTATTAGATTCGGTCTTCCCTGAATGCCGTGCTCGGCTTCTGAAAGCTTGCTTATGCATGCTGTCCATTCAGCTGTCTTCCAGAAATTATCTTTTCAGTCTTCTAAAATACTGTTTGCATCCGTGTTGTGCATGTCTGTCTCTCTTTTTCTCTGTCTTCTCTCTCTCTCTCTCTCTCTCTCTCTCCCTTCCTGTCTCACTGACGTCTCCACAGATGGTTGTCGTGTTGCAAGGATCACAGAAGGAAGCCCTTCTTCGGCGACACCTGTGTGAAGATGGTGGTGGTGAGGGTACACCTTCCTACATGGACCTGCTATGCCATATTCACAAAGAGATCCGCAATGCTCTGGCATAAAGCTTAGCTTCATTTGCTCTTGCCTCAGTTAAGCTATCACCGCTATTGCCTTTTCATTCTGCTGTCTGTAAGATATATCGCTCTATTTTCTAACTATGCTGTGGCAAGTTGTCTCAGTTTTTATTTGTATCCTTTTTTTATGTTTGACGCATAAATTTACCAATGCATAAATTCGTTGACTTCCCGAATTTATATTGATTGTTTGCACCTATCTCTGTCCTTACCGCCAACCAGCCTCTAACTAATTAATCATCATCTCGCCTTGCAAATTCTCTTGTGCCTCGTTCGTTATGTGCTATTTGGTCAACATTATCCTTCGTTTTTAGTCATCAGCGTTTTGCATTGAGTGCATCCTCTGCACTTTAATTTACCCATATGTATTATGTCGTTTTATCGCCACCACCGCTACCACACCACTGCTACCCTCCGCTGTCCTAGAGCTGCTGCCTTTCTAGAATTTATATATATAGTAGCAGCACAAGCTATGCTGAATTTTCTTTAAATTTATTGTACAAAATTGGTATGGATTTTTGACATGTTTAATTTAACCAGCCGTGTGGAGTTTCAATCAGGATGATCAAGCTAATCCACCATTTTTGTTTTGTGTTTCGGTGTTTCAAAAGCAAATGTTGGTGTTTTGCTGGTAGCACAATAAATACTCCGCTGGTCCAGCAAGGCCAATTCAATTGGGGAAAAAGAACCATTTAGTATTCTGGCTGGCCTGAATAAGTATTGGTCCAGCAATTGTGACTACCTCCCTTGGTCTACCTCTCTTGGTCCAATGGTATCTGTCAAACACACTACTCCCTTGGTCAAATGGCATTGTTTCCCTTTTATACAGTCCTGCATTCAAAAGCAAAAAAGTTGAACTATGCGTATATGGTATAATAGTATACGAATAGTAGCAATGTGTGTGCAATTAGATGAAAATACTGTAAAAGAGTGGCAATAGGCATTGCAGAACAGTCAGCGCAACTCAACAAATGAGTAAATATCACCAATCCTTGTCGAAAGCTGCAGAGGAAGTAGCAAAGCAGAACAAGGAGTGTTGGCACAGCAAAAAAATACAGCCGATACAAAGTCAAAACCTACAAAAAAGGGGTTCGACAAGTACATCATATTAGCCCTCCATATGGACGGGGATTAGCGCAAAGAGTGTTGGCACAGCAAAAAATACAGTCGATACAAAGCACGGAACCTACAAAAAGGGGTTCGACAAGTACATCATATTAGCCTTCAATATGGACGGGGATTAGCGCAAAGAGCCTTATTTTAATAGATCATTTTTTCACGTACGAGTACTCAATTTCAGAAATTTTCGGTGCTCAATATTTTCGGTATGAGGGCAACTGGCTAGGTTAGGTGAACAGAAATTTTCGGTACAGAGAAGCAATTCCCTATTGGATTATGTGCGATAGTGTTTGTTCGGTGTATTGAAATTTTAGGTGTGCAACAGACACACCGAAAGTACCGAAAATAAAAGTACACCGAAAATTTGTGAAATTACAGTACTTCGAAGTAGTGGAATCTTTTTAAAAAGCTAGTCTGATCCTATCTCTGTGCTGTGCATGTGTTGTTTGTTGTGTATATGTAGATTGTAGGAAGGAGTACAGCGATCAGGACCCCAAGAAGCAAGCCAGCACAGAAATTCAGGTGACACAAAGCAGCAGTAAGCACGATACTGAACTGTAGTAGTAGTAGTAGTAGAATTTATTATTTTGATAGGGAAGGCCCTACAGACGTTGCCGTCTTGTTGCAGTACAGTGAAATTCGAATTATGCCTTGCTTTTATCCGTAGGAATCCCATGCACACATTTTCTGCGTAAGCGGATTCTACGTATTGATTTTGGAAGAATTGGGCTTTGTGCCCAGCAGTACTACACGCACTTTAACTTACCAGCATCGACAAGTTGCTCTAGTTCGTCAATTGACTGAGAGCGATCAGATTCATCTGCAGAAGATAATCGCCGGGAATAAGAACCAATTCTAGTGTTTCTAGGAACATAATGGAAGAGTGAACTGTCGCAATAGTGTGCAGCCGTCGCATTTGGCCTGTGGAACTCCTACACGTTTGTTCAAAAGGGGACATAATTTGGGGGGTTTCCATTAGGAGTTTTCCACGTGTGCCAACGTGGGGCCATAGTTATGACAAAAGCAGTCATGGTAGTTTTTACGACACGACGTTGCTCACCTGCTTGTTCAGCATTCACGTCCTTGTTGGCGGCCTTCATTTCAGCTTCGCGCTCGATCTCATCGTCCTGGAACTCTGCGATGCTCATGTCATTATCTTCTTGCACCAGAGCTATTGACGGTAGAGAGATGCACATTTGACACCATCATAATATTTGAGCAGCCATTGTAAGTGATATGCCAGGGTTGTAGGTAGCAGATGACTCGCAACTAAACGGCTAGTGGTCGAACAAGGCTAACAACGAATACAATGCTAATGCGAGGGATGGAGCTGCTGCTTGTCGACCCGCTACAGTGTACATGTGTGATTGCACCCGTGACAGTCTCCCTTCATAGACAGCAGGTGGCATTCTACTTACACTCCGACTCGGACTGTCGGTCCTGGTCTTGGTTTTCATGCAAGCGCTCTGCAACCAGCTCGTTGTCTTGAAACTGGGACATAGACATGGAGTCCTCCTCGTCAGCTACATGTACAAGTACATAGTAGCATACAAAGCAACAGAATATACGAAAGTTTCAGAGGAACCACCCCAACCCTACAAGTAAATTGTGCTTCAGCTGGCTGGTCGTACCACCCTAAAATACCTCCGACGCCCCCGAGATGAACTCGATAATTGTATGCGGTGCATACGAAAAGTGTCTGGAACACACAAGCTGATTGGCTACATTGGGGTACTACGTACATTGTTTATTTATTTCTGCACATTGTGGCACGTCAAGATAGCCAATTGAATTGAGGAGAGGGTGAGACCAACCACGGAAGAAGAGAAAAAAGAAAATGAAGAGCACGTACACAAAGGGGGAAGGGATTAGCAACTTACAAAGCAATGGTATGCTCAGCGAGCTATGTAGCGGAAGTGGTGACTATGATTTTGTTTACTGGGAGATACTGAAGTGCTGTCTGACGAGGGTACGGAATTTGGGCATATCTGGAGCTTGTCTAACACTGGGAGGCAGCTGGAGCCACGTGGAGTAGGAGGAAAAGAAAGGGGAATTTACGAATAGGGTAGACCTAGCTAGGGGGAGACGAACGCAGCTTCGGGTGGTGCCAATTAAGTGGCTGTAAATGAGCAGGGTGAGAAAAATTGAATGTGCCACTGAGGGTGCACTTGGAAGCTTTGTGTGATATACAGGATGATGCCGGGTGTTGCTATGCAAACCAACATGCACTGTCACTGTGACGTCTTCAGGTTCACAGTTCACATGTGAATTATATATGGACCATGAAAACGGTACTTCAGCAGCACATGTTAAAACCACACACATGCAGTGTAGCTAGACAGATATTCACACATACCTTGGCCTAGTTGTCCTTCATTCTCGGTGTAAGCGGACTGGAATTGGAATGCGCCCGGTGAGCGACGCTCATACTCATCTTCATTGTCAATGAAATCGGTCAGCGGAATGTCTTTCTCAGAATCTGGAGAGAATAAACGTTGAGAGGGGAGATCCAAAACGGCAATGAGAACAGATATTGTACTCTGCTGAGGCACCCACTGAGAATGATGCGATTGGTGTATCACTTTCTGCACATTTTTTTGCCCAAATGGGCAAACACAACCGAATACTAGGGTTTTGCTCTCATGTTATATGATGTTTGATGATGTGCCACTAGTAGGCCCACTACGCAATCGTGAATCCAAACCAGAGAGCAGAATGTCCAAAAATGATTCCTGATACACGTGGGGAAACAGCTGATTGTCCCCAATACTTGGGTGCATGGTTATAACTGCTGCTGAAGTACCATTTTTCCTTGTGCATATAAACTAGGGCTGAAACGAATGCTCAATGAAGCGAACGAATATTCTCTTTCCTAATACGTGTGAAACGAAGAATATTCCGAATATTCTAAACCATACAATATCCATGGATACCTAGTTGTATCCATGGTAACCATAGATCATCAACTGGCGTATACCCCAATTACAGGAGGGACATTTGAAATGGACAATGTTATCGTTTGTCTTGCTGATGACAACACATGGAAGGTGGCAATCTCACCCACTTTCTGCACCAAATAAACCTGTTCGATATCAAGAAGACGAGTTTCTGTACATTTACGAACATTCTTATTCTACTCTAACGAAGAATATTCTTTTTCCGATCTGCACATTTCGAATATTCGAATAATTCGAATATTCCTTTCAGCCCTAATATAAACGCAGCAGAATACTCAACATGCTCATTATACTATACGTGGACGGTCCATGGTTGGGAAACAGATCCCAACGGGTCAAAGTATACCTCAGAATAGGGAGGAGCACAGTCGAGACACTGATCCCCAATAAGAACCTGCCCCCATGGCACTGCACAATTTCATGTGCCAATCTGTAGGATTCCTGGTGCAATATATACAATGTATGTCCTACACATCTTGGGATTTGTTGGGATTTTGTTAGCCCACATTCTGGCATTACCTACACCTTGAGGACAGGGAGCTTTCAACTCGTTACTCGGTGACCATGTCACGAGAGATTGGCATACAGAAAAGGACTGGGTTTTCCGTTCTGAGAATGTAAGGTATCCTCAGTCATCAGCATGACAACTTGCGTCTGTTTTTTTGGCTCTACTCACCTCTCTCGCCGAGCTGCTTTGCCGCATCTTCTTCCGCATTCTCGTTGTCATGGATGCGGACACGCTCAATAAGGCTGTCTTCCTTGCCGAGAAGGGCACTCTTCACATCATGATGCTCTGCAACTGCACAACAACAACACAGGTCAGGAGCAGTTGTCATTGATCTACCCCATAACAGTCATAGCACAGCCTTGATCATCATTCATCAGTACAGACACTCGTGACGAGAAATGCAGCAGTGCAACGAGCAGCTACGCGGCACCACCGTGAATGATCTAGCAATCAGCCGGGTCACTGAGACTCTTACAGTACATACACTAATCCTAGTCTTGTAGGCAGTGGCACTGCCGCCGCTCTTAAAATCATATTTTGATGGTCGTGGCCTTCTGGTAAACCCAAAGAAAACCGAACTCCTAATCATCCATCGTGCCAGTGACTCAATTCCGGTGACAGCATCAGTGCTGTGCGACACGACTGTCAGTCATCACCCCGTCACCCACATGTAAGTATCTTGGGCTCCACATCGATGAGCACCCGACCTTCCGACCCCATATCTCCCACCTCCGTGATGACATTAATAAGAAGCTAGGTGCTTTTTAGGCGAGGCAGAGACAACCTGGACAGTTAGGCCCGCCGAGCGTTCTTCTCGGGGTCACACAGCAAATCTAATTAGCAAATTAGAGCAAATTAGAGTTCCGAATGATTCATTACACGCTGCAGAATACGATATGCTTCTAGGACTGAGTCGCCGAGCTGTTCGTATTGTATTTGCCTACCCTTCCCGTGCTGACGTTGAGCCCATTTTGCGTTGTCACAACCTCCACCCACTCAGCCTACGCCTCACTCTTGAGCTCAGTTACTTTTCGGTGCATCAGGTCCCTTGGCAGTCCCCTCATCTCCCAAATCTTCACGACCCGAAATGATGCTACCCACACTACCTCCCAAACCAGAGGCCAAACATTCAGTAGTTTCTTTCTCCCCCGGCACGCGGCTGAAACTACCTCCCCACACGGCCTAGTATAAAATGTCCGAGCACACGAAGAGACAATTATTATTTCTGCTTACCGTCCGTTGCCTTGCATCTGCACAGCAGGAGAGCGGCGAGCAGAAAGTAAACGGCTCCCTTCATCTTGACGATTTTCGAAACTGGAATGGAGATAAGTGAAGAGCTAGCAGTTGCAGCTATCCCGGCCAGCAGCGCGTCGAGAGTCTTCCGTAAACTGTGCATGGACGGCGAAACGGAGAGCCTCATAAGCGTTCCGAAACGGCGCAAATCGGAGCGAGGGCGTGCGAGGACCACTAGCGCCACAACCTGTGAAGCTCTCCTTCTCTCAGTCTCTGCATATTGACTGATCCCTCCCGCCATTTCCGGTGTCACCCTCCTCACTTGAGAGGCGCAATCGCGAGGATCAGAAACTAACTAATACTTGGCACAGAACTTCAGAACGTCCGGTCAGGTCAAGGTGCCTGCACTGTGAGTGTGAGCACTACTGCACTAGTACGACGTCGCTTCTGTTCAGTCTACCGTCTACAGAACGGCAGAAAAGCGGTGTGAAAGCCACACTTTGCACATCACCATGAACCATGATGAACGATGGGGATCACCGCAAACTAACTACATACTTTACCTACTGACTAAACTCGTAGATCTCCTCGTACATCAAAATTAATCCTAATCACATCGCACTAGGCGTCGTGCTAGAGCTAATGATTATGACTGTACTACTAGTGTAGTAGGGTGATAATCGACTGCCAACTAACTCCAGCCAGGAATCGGAGAGAAGTAAATGAAGACGCACTAACTGGATCGATCATGGAATGATACCGATTTCCCGAAAAATCAGGCACCCAGATATGAGCGCGGAGACTATGCACCTACAATACAATACGTCCTTGAATCTTACTATTTTTGTGTTGGGCTTGCATCGATCTATCACTTCCTGAAATCGGTATCTTTCTATGGTGGTTCTATTTCTCAGTTTTGCTGTTGCTGCGAACCCTTGTTCGTTTGGCCAATTGGTACAAGTACTGTCAAAAGTCACGGCTCTTGACCATGTTGACGGTGAATCCAATCTCCACGCAAGGACCGCGATTGCCGAAACTACGCCACGCTGAGGCCACGCAATCATTTTCCACTCAGGGAAAACCCGATCGTTGTGTGCAAAAAGGAACCGGAAACTCTTCGACAGCGGGCAGGAGGATGCGGAGATGTGCGAGCTCATCGGAGCCTTTGCTCTCGTTGTGTCCTTGTGAAGTTGTGATGCTTCCAAGGTTAGGGATAATGAGCATGGCGACATGCAGCAGTACTATAATTATTATTTCAAAGTAGTAGTGATCATGGTGATGTACTGAGAGCTGTTCCTGAGAGTAAACTGTGACGAGCTGAGTGGACGGATGATGGGAGTGTTCAGAGATGGGCCACCATGATGGCAGATGCTGACCCCGGATTGGCCCGGAACCGATGACAAAATGGAAGAGTGTACACGAGCACCTCACCTCGGACTGGAAATCATTCATGAACACAGAGAAGAATCTGAGGACTGTTGGACTTCCTGCATTGAACCCGAACAGCCAAGACAGGGCATGTCAACAGTGTCGACAGTGTTTATTGTATTGCAAGTACCAGTACTTCAGGAACCAGTGTATGGCAGTACCCTCGAAGGTAACGCTAGCAGATACTCGGAAGACTGGAGTATTTGGAAGAATGGAAGGAAACAGAAGAAAGCGGTCACTCTAAATAGAGATAACTCTGGAAACCATGACAAGGCACGCCCCGGATTCGAAATGAGCCAATCCAAAGTGCATCTGGAATCTGACTCCCGTTTAAAAACTCACACGAAACACAGCACTGGGTGGTCTCTCAGGCATCACAAATGTTCCAGCCTATCAGTCCAATGCAGCGACAACGCCGCAGTTCGGGTTATTCTAGGCATGATCGAGAAGCTGAACACACTAGCTCTGTTTCTCTATCAACAAGACTCTATCAGTGCTGCTGGTGTCGAAGTGCGGATATGTGTACATACTTATCAGCTTAGCTTTTCTCCATCATTAGCAAGGAGCTGCATCAACGACTTTCCCTGCCTCTATCGTGACAACATGTACAAATAACTGGTGTTTGTTAGTGTAGCATACTTTAGAGCGTTTCATTCTGCTCTTCAGCCTGTGTGCATTACCTGCATGATTACGGGGTCCCCAGAAGAGCCCTGCATCTCATCGATAAACACTTCCTGAAGGGCTCGGCACTACACAAAATATTCAACCGGAGCCGAGTGGAGGCATTGTTCCATGCCGCAAAACGTCGGACACATTATCAACGCCAACGACATGAGCGCTCTTGCAACGGCAACAGGCCAGTCACAACCTCCTGCTAAGGCGTGCAACTACCGCAACACAACACAGTGCCCTCTCAATGGTGATTGCCCGGTGGCAAGCTCTATAGTATAGTATGCAAAAGCGACAGTGAATGAAGATTCCGGACGGAACAGAGTATGTCGGAATCGCCGAACCCCATTTAAAGGACTGGTACAACAATCACACCCAGAGAGTTCTGGCACGAACTATGCCAGTGCAGAATTGTCAAACAATGATGTGTAGAACCTGAAGCAGGCTTCTCTCTGTCATGTGACTATACAGGGTCATGCATACTCTGATATCAGGACATGACAGTTGCAGCAGGGGTTCAAGTCACATGACGCAAGACCAATACATCAACACAACTCCATAACTTCAGGCACAATACACGCAATAATGACGTCCTTGTCTACTTGTAAACATCTCTGGTGGTCTGCACTGTCACACATGCTGTCACTTCCACGTTTGTCAACACAGTGATTTTGACTTCAGAAGACTGGCACAGTATGTTCATGTCATAATAACTTGATGACAACAGTCATTTTTGCGCGGCTCAGTCTGAAGATCATGCATCATGGCTTGGAAGACCATGCATGATTCGCATGAAGACTGGGTATAGATCTTCTCCCATGCACGGCGCCAGGCAGTGGGTCATTGTAGATCTACATGATGTACTGTCACTGAACAAACATGATTGTATTGCAGATCTACATGTACATCAAAACAGCATCTACATGCACATGTATATACACGTACTAGGGCCTGGCACTACGTATCCAATGTTGACTGAGTACTACTAGGTCAATATAGCATTATAGGAAATAAAAGCCGAGTAAAAGACCGAGGCGAAGCCGAGTAAAAGATCGAGGCGAAGCCGAGGTCTTTTACTAGGTTTTTATTTCCTATACTGACCAAGTACGAAGTCAATATTAGATTTATCATGACAAACAGTCCGTATTTAAAATTCCAGAACGATACCTGCATGCTGCTCGAATTGTGTCATTGTTGCACAACCCGGGGAAAAAGAACAGTGGTCATACTCTAGGCATCGTTCAACTGCGCCACCCATAAGCAGCCAAATATAAGCAGTCAATATACATGTAGCCCTAGGCCTTAGGCTAAGGAGTGAAATATGTGTAGAATAAACACCGATGTCGCAGTGTTTATGTATAGAACAAACGCCGATGTCGTAGTGTTTATGGGAATATAGACACTGCTATAAAAATCGAGGCGCAGCCGAGGTTAAAAGTTACAACACCTCTAACTGGGTAATATAGCAAAGTACATGTACATGTGTGTGGTGAATATGGAGATACTTGTACAGGTATATTCCCCAGTTACAGGTCACAGGAATTAGTGGGGGTTAATATGACCTGGGTATAAGGGAATATAAACACTGCTGTAAAACCGAGGCACAGCCGAGGTTTTTATAGACAGTGTTTATTCCCATAAACACAAGACAGAGGTGTTTATTCTATTTATACCTACATGTACATGTACCTTCGTTTTTGGACTAAGAGAGTGATACGTATTATTATCACTCTCTAGCTTAGTATTGACTCCCATTGATTATCGCTATCTAAGCAGTCAAATATTTTACCATGTTTACACACCGGGACTGGCAGTGGTAGATCTACTCATGACACACTGTCGACATGTCTCAGTCGATGGTAAGTAGTTTGTAGGCTCTTTGCTGCCAGAAATGCATGCTGTATGTAATCAATGGTAATAAATACTAATATTAAATGCTGCTAAGACAGACCCACACTGCAGTGAGTGCAGTTTTCACTGTGGCACAGTCTACATGTATCTATCAAGTATCATGCATCAGGCCTGCAGGGCGTAGTGCATGCTCGGCCTTATTTACTGACTTCATGAATAGGGTCCAGCGGATGCTCCGAAAATGTTCGTATAATGCTAACCATAATGCTCCAAAAACTGCCTTATAATGCTGATTATAATGCTTCAGCAAGGGATATAATGCTCTTGGTTTGGGACAAAAATGGAAGAAAGTCTGCACATTGTCAAACTTCCAGGAAATTATGCATATCGTCGATCTGCCTCAGCTGCCACCTTATCTCTCACGAGCTCCAACACTTCTTAGCACTATAAGACATGATCACTTCTCCATTGACTGCTCTCCATTCCAACTTTGATGCAGGGTTGTGGCAGAATAGTCGGTGTATCAAATCTTTCCCCTAATTATCCACTGTGTAGTGAGAGATGAAACCATTATTGCAGGTAGTCATTCATTGTTGGGATGAAGTCCATCTTGGCAAATAGTATTCCTGCTGCAGACAAGCTGTCACTGCGTTCACTCTGTGAATAATGTCTTCATCTGAAACACCAGACGTGAGGCCAGCTCCTTAGATCCGATCTCAGATGGAGAGCCCTCCCATTTGCTGAAATCCTGAAAACACGTGGTCAGAAGTTATTTTGCCACTCTACATCCTTTGCTTGTCACGGCTCTCATCTTCTCCTTGAGATGGTGTGTAGACATATGGCTTGCCACAATACTCTTCCTCTCTGATAGCATTTGACTGTAGGCCTGGCATCACAACCGTCCACAACTAACTGTACGTGCTTCATCAGGAAAGTAACAGAGGCGCTGCTGAGCCATCGACTTGGTACTGAGTCCATGAGAAATTCTAGTTCTTTTCTAGCCTCCTGAGCTGGACCGGCAAAGGCAGGTCTTTTGGAACGAGCTTTTTCTGTTTATAGCCGCTCCTTCATCCTGGTCCAAATTTAGCAATGCATCAGTGTCTACTTCAGTATCGCTAGAGATGGCATGCTATCGCCAGAGCCTCTGGCACAACGAGCAAACCCGTCTTCGTCTGTTTGATATTCACTTCGCGTATGTCTCCTCCATAGCTCTCCATTATTCAAAAAGTGAAAGAAACCTCGTAAATAATTTCTCCGGATTTGTGTCACTTGACTGATCGGCCTCGGTTGGGCATGCTTCGCAGGCTTGTAAAGATACATTTACCTGACCACATCGCTACAATCATAACGTTTTTAATTTTATATGTAGCAATAGTTATGACTGTAGCGTTAGTGCTAAATGTGTTACGTGTCTACCAGGTCTACACAATCACAAAGTCATGCGCCGGTACAATGCATGGTGCTCAAATGCCCTGAATGGGCGGAGCGTAGTACGCAAGAGGTACACAAAAGGAGTAAAATAGGGCTGTTTCGTTGTTACTCAGAGTTTCATGGCAAAAACCAATCATCAGGCAGCATCAGGCAGCATCTCATGATCATGATTGTAGCCGATTGTTGCCAAAAACCTGGGATATCCCGATATTATCCACTATGAAACTTGTTATGCCGCTCAAACCTCACATAATGCTCGTTTTGTTCCTTTCTACATAATGCTCTGATGCTCGGATAGTCGTATTGCCGAATATACATGTAATGCCGGCATTATCCGCTGGACCCATGAAGCCAAAAATGAAAGGTGTAGATAAAGAGTCATGATTTCAGATACCGTATTATCTCTAATATAAGCACGGTCCTTTATTTTTTCAATGTACCTCCACCCCGTGCGATGGAGACGTTCCTTTATTGGAGACTGTTCCATTATTATTTCAACCTCATTTCAGAGGCATGTTTCCATTCCAAATTCATGTCAGACACACACATTTCAGGGTTTTTTTTCGCCGGTATAGATAATGAATTTACACAGTGTGCTTATAATGGAGACTGAGCACTTTGTTTTTTGAATGCCGCCCCAAGGTGTTCTATTATTGGAGACGTGCTATTATTGCCATATTGGAGACTGTGCTTATATTAGAGATAATACGGTCTGATTTACTCTGGACTAGTATTACCATGATTACTAGTCAGTAGGTCTACGTAGTAGTAGATCTACGACAGATACTGAGATGTAGCCTACTCTGCGTGAGTCATGTCATCACTGCGACATCAGCTCAGCGAAGTGAACGTGAACCATTGCCATTTAATTGGCACTACCACTGCTACTAGTACTACTGAGTAGATCTACTACTACTACTACTACTAGTACTTCTGTAGGTCTACTGTGTAGACTGTATACTGTACTGTAGAGATTGTAGTGGAGAGGGAGACTAGAGTCGAGTACTACGTCTAGTAGTACAGTACTAGTTGTAGAGAGAGAGATGATGATTTATGTGTGTTTTTTGCTGTCCATGAGCGCTAGTGCTATCATTTCGCTTTTCTGGTTCTTTCAGCGAGCAGCGCTCGTGTGTGCTAGCACTAGCAGCTGGAAGGATGAGATCGTAGGAGGTTGTCTACTCACTAGAGTCTAGACGTCTAGTGTTAGCCTGTTGTAGCTATTCAGGTGGAGTTGGTCGCATCTAGTTCCGTTCGATCGTTTGCTCGTGACAGTAGTATCAGTAACTGTTGTCTTTCTCTGTTTTGGAAAATGCATCGTCTTCTGCTCTTTCTTGGTGAGTACTGCCTATGGCACATATGCACAGGCGATGTGGATATTGTCCGCTCATGGTACGCTTTTTGAGGTTTTGTGTCAAGTTCATAGCGAATCTGGAAGTGCTTTTCACGAAAAGCTTCGATCATTGCATGATTATTATTGTTGTCGGTTTTCTCTGTACCAGTGGCGCTCTGATGTCGTTGGTGTGTTCCTCTGGCTGCTGTTCTGCGCGCTCGTATGCATGTGTGTGCGTGTATGTCCTCAGCACCAGTGCTTCTCCTGGCTTGTGTGCCCTCTTCTCAAGCGTTCTACGTGCAGTCGTGCCACTACTTCGGCCCTCATTGCGGGCACAAGATCGGAGACTTGGAAGCTACACAAGTATTGGCCAACTTTTCAGTTGATGTTCGTGATTCTCAAAAGAACATTTCGTGCGGTCTGAGCACGAATGAGAGCATCGAGTACTGTTCTTTGCCCCCAGAATTTATTGAGGAAGAACCCGATCCAAACAGGCACCAGTGCTTCTCCTTGTACAGACTGTTCGCTGATAGCAATGAGCGGTTCTTGGTCGCGTCGGGTTGCATCTTCGGCCATGGCCTAAATTTGTGCACGGGACACCAGTGCAACTTTAGTCATGATACTCAGCTGGCGCACAGCAACGATTCGCTGCACTATTGCTGCTGCCACAGCAGCGACTTCTGCAATGGTGGCCGAATAGTTGGACATCCACCCAGTGTTAAGCCGGGAATTACGACACTGACTTTCACATCTTCTCCAGGTGAGTGCGGAGACTTGGATATAGCGCATGAAGTCACATAATTCCTGATACGGTTACGCAAGTTTGTACAAAATCCGCGTTCAATCTTGTTCTAGTTCTGCCCAAACTATTTGCGCCCGGAACAGTAGTAATATTTACTGATAATATCGATGCGTCCTGGAAACAGAACAATAGACTATTCAGATTTCTTATTCTTGTCTTAGAGTATGTAAAATTGATACCATTTCTTGAATGAGTGGCTGTCTATGTCTACACCACGTGTAGCGGACATCTGAAGTCGCTGCAACACCGGGCTCAGAGTCGATTTACAACCCTTGGCCTTGTTGCATTCTCGATCTATTCCTCTCTCTGGCCCTTGCGAGTCGCGAATTCTCGTCACATTTTTGGTCAATCTTGTGGCGTGCGGCCATCCTTATCCTTCCGTCCGTGGCCAGATAGAGAAGCCTAGACTTCGCTGGCTGCTGTCTGCTGCGTCTCAGCCTCGTGTCAACCCGTAGTCTACAGTTTTCTTGCCTGCCTGCGCTGACTAACACTACCGGTAGTAACAGTACTATCAGTATCACTACAGTAGTAACAGCCGTGGTGTGGTACTTCTGTCGCGGCTCCCCTTGCCTTGGTCAGGGAAATACCTGGTGCTGCGCAGGCTTCAGTCAGTGAGGCACATCCGAAGAATATTATTAGATTGAAATGGAGAGTGTCGTTGCCAGTATCGTTTCAGGGATTTATCCCATCGCAGCCTGTCTGCCAGTCTGGGCTGCAGCTGTGTTGCGCTTCTTGGCAGACCCCATGCCGGCCCAGCACATTTTGGTAACTGTATTCTGCCTCCTAAAATGAATCCCAAAGGCAGAAGTGCTGCATATTGTTGTTCAGTGTTTGATAGTTGTATACTAACCCTTTGCTTTTGGGACATTTGAAGACCTACTAGTAAAGTCTGCGTCAGAACTGTAATAATACTAAGCACAGCAGGGAAAATAATGAGCTACTCCACAAACACTAGCCGCTGCTGCTGCTGCTGCTGCTGCTGCTGCTGCTGCTGATGCTGATGCTGCTGCTGCTCCAGTGCAATGTTTGCACAACACTACTAGTTGTGTGGTCCCTGTGGAGTAGCAACTGCAGCCCCGTTGTGCACCAAGCTGTTGCCAGCAACACAGCACACTGTCATATTAATCAATTAAATTTATTTGGTTGTGCAGTTGACTTGTGGTCAAGGCTGTCATGTGCTTGGTCAGCTGTCTGGCAAGTCAAGAGGCCAGTGAAGTCTGAAGATCTGTTTGCACCAAGTCCAACTAGAGACTGCAATTTTGGCCTTGGGTCTTCTTTTTGAAAGAAGAAAGATTACTTTGGAAAGTTATGGCCATGCACTGTACACCACACCACCCACAACACCTCCACTACAAATTGCTACAAATCATGGTAGAGATAAAACAGTTATCCATATTTTCCAGGCCAGTTTCATCTTATGACCCAGCATTTTTGGAAAATACACATTGTACACAGGTTGTAGCCATCAAACGACCACCATGTGGATGGTGGGTTGTATGTTGTGTCACGCCCCACAAGAGTATTTGCTACAGTGAGTCTTGGAGAATATAGTCTTTTTTCTTTCCGTCCGGACCGGGCCTGGGCTAGTATTACACAGCAGCTAGATTTGCAAGCACGTTGTCAAAAAGGTGACAAAGTTTGCCCGCACGTGTGTGTATATATGTGGGTGTATTATATGTGTGTGTGTGTGTGTGTGTGTGTGTGTGTGTGTGTGTGGTGTGTGTGTGTGTGTGTGTGTGTGTGTGTGTGTGTGTGTGTGTGCACGTGTGTCTATGTGTATTGCAGGGTTGGGGTGGGCTAGTAGAGAAGGGTAGATGTATATGTACATGTACATGGGATATGTAGTTGTGCATGTACATGTAGCGAAGCAAACTTATCAAAAGGCATTCTGCACCTATATGGCGAAATTGAACATTGAAGCATGTGTTTTTTTATTTTCTCATTGACATGTACACGTTTAGTACATTCAATAACCAAAACATGAGGAAGATTGTAAATCAGATTCTTGGTGAAATACCCATCTGCTATACATCACAAATCCTGTACAAATTTGACAATTTAGTGAAATTGTCATCGCCTATATGTCAAAAGTTAGCATTGAGACCCCGTTTTTTTTATTTCGCCATTTGCATACACTACTTAAGAGCAACCGCCCACCAAATTTTCAGAGCAATCGTTAATTTTTTTGAAATAGGCGCGAGCCACCTTAAAAATGTTATTATTGTATGATGTATCAATGTGGGGAACTAGACTTGTGGCAATCTGCCTGGGCCAATTCAAGCAACCTATCTCACTGTGACTACTCCAATTTCAGAAATTTTAGGTGCCCAATATTTTCGGTATGAGGGCAAAAGGCCACTGGTTAGGTGAGCAGAAATTTTAGGTACAGAGAAGCACGGTTCCGTTTCGGATTATAGGTGTTAGTGTTGTTTGGTGTATTGAAATTTTAGATATGAAGCAAACACGCCGCAAGGACCGAAAATAAAAGTGCACCGAACATTTGTGAAATAAGTACAGTGCCTTAGAAGTGAGAGAGAGATTACGGGTATGGTAGACTGTAGTGATAGTTCTAGTGCAGTAAACATGCAGTGCACCCTGGTGATGATGCTGCCGCTTAGCTAGAGGAGCTACTGTAAAAGCCATATATAACGAAGTGCTACTGAATTCTAACGAGTTTTTTTAACGAGGAGAAATCTGTCTTTAGCCTGATCGTTGTACCGTGAAATCGATACAAATACTGTTGCTATTGAGCGTTGAGAATGAGTGAGAATAGTTACCTTTGGTACACGTAAACCAGTCAATTTTAGGCAATCGTTATGATATGCACCTCATTAGAATCATGGCTTCTACAGTAAGGTACTTGCAGACTGTGAGTGTGACTGAGTGTGCATCATCACTGCCGCGATGATGGGACTTGGGAAAGTGAGAAAGTGTCACAAGTAGATTGTTCACACCTTCTAGGTGCGGCTGACAGGGGGCAACTACAAACTAGGCAGACATGGTTGACAAGGTAGTAGCACTAGTAGTAGTACTAGTACTGCACACCAGCCATTGTGTGGGCCATGGGGTGGTACATGCCGTGTGATGAATCTGATGATAATATCCCCCCCCCCCCCCCCCCCCCCCCCGGCTTGGCCTGGCCTCAGACCGTCGTGTATTGTTGTATGGTGTGCCAGGTGCTAATGCAGTTATAGCACCCTGAGGTATCGGTGTGATTGGATCAAAATGCAATGAAGCGTTACAGGTCTGCACTGAGCTGCCGAATGGACAGAACGACGTCAGGCGATTGAGCACATGGTCGTACCGCACATGGTCAGATGGAAGCTAAACGGAAGAATACTCCTATCCATAAAATCAAGTGGCCCTGTCATGCAAAGGAAGCAAAATGTGCATTAGAATTTTGACAAGTCTGAGAGGGCACAAGGATACAGAGAATTTTCATAGTTTCCTGGATAGTGCTAGAACTTGGTAGGAGAAGGCATGCATTAGCCGTGGGTTGTTTATCTATCTATATAGCAGTACATGTATAGCAATGGCTACAACTACTAGCAGTAGCAGTAGTAGCACTAACAGTTGCTATGCTCTACTTGTGCGCAGAGACTGGTGACAGTAGAGAGGAGTGTACTGGGGACATGGCTATTACCACTGCTATCACTGCTATCAGTGCTATCACTGCTATCACTGCTATCAGTCCTGTACAGCTGACTCAATGCAGCTTGCTTCTATTGTTCTAACTCGGCCAAGCATGCCCCTATACTACTCAGTACTGACTCAGTAGTGTATTGCTTGAGGGGGGGGGGGGGGCTACTCACTCTGGACAGCATGGCCACATTATGGGTAGAAGTGGAAATGTAGTTAGCTATCACCACTGCGGGCACTGTACAAGTGCTACTACATGTACATCTAGTGCAGTAGTGGTGGTGGTGGTGGTGCTATGGTATACTTGTAGTGCCCAGATCTGATGCTCTTGTCTGAGAGGAAATACATGACTGTAGACATGCACTTACAAGCCCCCCTGTTGTCTGCAGTGTGCTGAAGAGTACCTTGTCAAGTGCAAAGCGGCAGGTGTTTGCAGGTGGTGTACAGCTCCAGTCTCTGCAGCGAACTCTGCCCAGTGCAAAGAGCCTGACCGGAACCAGCCCAGACCTGTCAATAATGCCAGGGATAATAATAATTGTAGTATTCTTCCCAACAACTGCCTGTGCATGTCCTGCCCCACTTAGTACATGCACTGGTGCCCCGTAACCAGTGACACTACTAGTACTAGCTAACATCTTGAAATCCAGGTCTTCAGGCTGCCAGTTGGGATATGCCTGATTCAGTAATCAGAACCAGAGTCCCAGTGCTGGTTGCCAAACCAAAACATATACATACATGTACATTAATGGTTATTGTTTTTAACAATACAGTATAGGTGGAAATAGCAAGTTACTAGAACAATAGTAGGAGAGAGTCATCCTGGTGGTGTGACGGGTAGGCATGACAACAACCTGTGCTTAGGTGAAGATATGGCCGCTGGAATGTTAATTAAAGGAAAGCAGCACGTCTGCTAGCTACACGGCTTGACTCTCAGTTTGAAAGCTCTGGGTGGATTGGTTGAAATGTTTTGTAAGCTAGATGGAAACATGCCCGAAAGTGGACTGCATGGGGGGGGGGGGCAACCTGGCACTGATTGCGGCCACCGTAGTGTACTAGTAGTGACTTGATGTCAAGGTTGTGTGTACTGCTAGCAGCATAATAAACTTTAAGACAAGCAGGAAGGTAGACTATGCCAGCAAATATCGACCTGTCAAACTTCTACAGAATATTGATCGCTCGCCGGGCAGATAAAGAGACATATGGAAGGGAGGGTGCCTCGATTTTGAGAGCGTTTGTTCTGAATTTCATGACCTTGTATTTTTCAGCCACGGCTGACTAAGTTAGCAGTACAACTAGTAGCGTGCATCTGTCCCTCCCGGCATGGGCCAAACTATGTGACTGTGTCCCGGCATGGGCCAAACTATGTGACTTCTCCCTCCCGGCATGGGCCAGACTCGGCATGGGCCAGACTATGTGACTTGCGACACATTGGCTGTGGCAGCCACCGTCAGCCTAGCGCCGGGGCGTTAGTTTGTTGCTGGGAAACTGTGCTAAATGCTATGAACCTGTCTCACACTGTGAGATCGACCTGAGCTCTCCTCCAGTTTAATGGCCATGCTATATAATTGCACATGGGAGGTCATTTCAAGTGTCAGGATCGGAAGTCCATCCTACTGGGAGGTATTACGTCGAGTGCCGCTGCAGTGCTACACACAAGGTTTTGGAGCGTGAGTGGTTGAGGTATTTGATATGTGATGTTGTGAACACCCCGCCCGCTCACTTCAAACACTGTGCGTACATGTCCCTTGGACATTGCATGTGACTTCACCCTCTCAGATCAAAATCGTTACATGCTACGCTCCTAGGTCGCTGGGGGTGTGGTGTGTGAAGCACTGCTCCATGGCGTAAAAAGGAGGCAGTGCTGAGTGTGGGAGAAGGTCACTGTCCTAAAACCTTCTTTATACACATGTACTTCCTCCAGAAACAAAAACTTTGTGAGTTTCATCAATCTGTCACGGTGTAAACCTAGTAGATGTACCGGGGATGTGGAGTCGGTGTTTTGTCACGTTTCAAGAGGAGATATCATCAGTGCCACTAATGTTGATTCCCTGCATAATAGTGTATGTACGGTTTGAGGGGTCTGGGGAGAAATAACAAATACCGTCTTGATACAAACATCGGTATTTGCGGATGGCTCCTTATAAGATTTTCTGACTACGTATTAAGCTATGAATAATACAATTGATGCCAACATAATACCATGATAAACCGATGAAATGAAATATGTATAGCGGATTCAGAAACGCTTTTCTTCGATGGCCATTAGTGAATCTACATAGAATTGTACATACGGGAAGCAAATCAGAATATATGCTCAAAATTGGTCTTGATTCAAGGTTACAAAGACCACGAGACTACCCAGGCGACAAGGCAATGCAAAAAGGCGTCTTGTAGAGTCATTTGGAGTAATGGCCGGTATCAGCTTGTGGTAGAAGACCCTTTCCAGTGGCTCCAATGCCTGCTCGGAAACCTCCATCGTCCGGCATACAAAAGACCATTTACTTCGTCTGGAAAGCGACTACAATTAAACAAGGGTGCAAGGGTGATTGTATTGTCATCATAGTGTGAGAACCGTGTGGAAGAAAAATTTGAGCGATAACATTTCTGAATCTTCTATACATTTTTCATTATATTCGTATATCATGACTTTGTGTCGGCATCAATTGCATTATTCATAGCTTTGTTGAAACTTCTTTCTCTGAAACGGCTATTTGACTACATGTTGCTTCTCGTATTTCTTGTTACGCATTGCTACAGGACCAATGGAGACAACATCCGAGACGGAAAGCGGCAGCTCATCAATGACACTCATTGTCCTGGCTATTCTGTTGCCTGTTGTGGTGATCTGTATATCCATCTTGGCCGGCACGTGGTACTGGTCACAGAAACGCCGCTCCATGCTGTATGGCCACGAAACGCTGGTGGTGAGTTACACACGCATTGCAATGACCGCTTGTTTTCCACAGTGTCGCTGTGAACATGTTGCTGCAGGGTTTTCTTTAAGACAAGTGTTGGGAGCGAAGCAAATCTGGTGCACACACTCCAGGTGTGATCCTAGTGCTTTGCTAGTGCTTTGCTAGTGCTTTGCTAGTGCTTTGTGACCGACCAACCATACAGGCATGTGTAGTGACCTGGCGAGGCCATTGCAGCCGCCGTCGTAGGGCCGAGGTAAAACCCGAAACATGTACCCGTTTGGACACGCTCCTGAATACGTCAGTGTGCATTGTGTTGTTTAGAGCAGGGGGGGGGGGGGGGGTGACGGATACATGCCCTCCTCTACTTTGGCATGTGTACACTATTGGTAGCAGTGTATGACAAACAGTGGAGCATGGGGTTACCACGATTACAGGCAGGTCATTAGTACTGTGTCTTCTAATGCGTGTTGGTGTCCCCCACTACTTCAGATGGATACTATCAACGGTCACGTGGCAGCTCCGGCTGCTGCAAATCGGGAACAACCGCCCCAGGTGTCTGGGGAGCTTGAGGTGTTTCGCAAGTATGGCAGTGTCATTGGCTGTGGTCGATTCTCCAATGTGCACAAGTAAGATTCAATGATGGGAAACAGATCTCGTCACCATTTGAGTTGTTTGGCAACAACTATTACTGTGTGTACTTCGAAGTAGAAACTATTGATAAGTGCCTCCATGCATAATTAGTGTTTTGGTCCCAACCACTAGCTGTGGATGCGATCATTGCACACAGCAATCTCAGCTGACTTCCCCCGGTCTGGTGACCGTGAAGGTTGAATCATGACCTTTCCCATTTTGATGTCGTGTGCAATGCCTGCTGCATACCGGCCCTTCAGTTGTTTTGCATTCGATCCTCAGGTTTCGAAGGAAACTTACGCTGCACATTTCCGTGCAGTTTGTTACCAAAACCTGTACCGTATGTTCCGGAGTATAAGCCGCACCCAGATAGTTTTTTTCGTCACGAAATACAGACATCTACCCTATTTATCACGGTTAATTCGATCATCGGCGTGTGAGCCGCACACCCCCCCCCCCCCCCCCATTGCTGGGTGAATTTTGAGTGTTCAAAGTGCAGCTTATCCTCCGGAAAGTACGGTGCCTAGCTAGTGTGTTATGTTTGCAGCAAAGATTTGGTAAAGCGCTTACATGGAGACAAGAAACTAACCAAGGTTACGATAGATGACAATATCCTTGATATTTCCACAAACAGGGAATGTCCATTCTACATCCCACATGTAATACGTGAATTTGCTAGCCCTATTGTATAATCCTGCTGCAATGTTGCTCGTGCTTGCGTTTCAGGGGCGAGTTGGACGGTGAGGAGGTAGCAATCAAGGTGTTTGGCGAGAGTGACATTGTGGCGTGGCAGAATGAGTGGCGGATCTACAACACGCTGCGTGTTCAGCACCAGAACATCCTCTACTTCCGCGGTGCAAAAGAGGTCATGAATGGACCAGTAGTCATGGAGCGTTATCTGGTCACCGAGTATCATTCAAACGTAAGAAGAACCGATAGTCTGTAGGTTGGGAGTCGTGATCAAAATATAGTTTGCTTGGTGAGGTCAACTGTCTCTAATATCAACCTTTCATACAAGTGTGTTCAGTGACATAATTATACATGTAGATCCTCCTCTTGGTGACTCTTGGTTGCAGTGCTTAATTTGTGCTTAATTCTGATTTGCTGATGCTGCTTTCACCACTTGACTGTTCACCGCTGCAGGGGTCTCTTTCAGACTACTTGAAAAGAACGACGATCACATACCAGGAGTTGTGTATCAAGGCCGTGTCCATAGCACGGGGACTTGAGTTCCTCCATACACAGAAGAGTCTTCGTGATGTGAGTGTTTGGTTTTACCATTGTCGTGCATGTGGTGTTGTGCTTTTGCCCTATCTTCAATGTCCAACACACATGCCAGGAACGATTGTTTGAATCCACCCGCCAAACTCCGTCGTACATCATAAGAAAAAAATGGACTTCACCTTGTTGTATCACCCGTCTACGCTGGATTTTTTGTTGGATACTAGTGTGTGCGCAGTGCCTCAGCTACGCCTATAAATTGCACTGCATGGCTGTACTGTAGACAGTGTTGCAAACACAACTTTTCAATCTGGCCTCGCTCCAAGCTATAATGAAGTTCATGTAGACGTTAGCAAGACATTCTGCTGGTAACTAGTGCGAATATCATTACATGTACTGACCCGTGCCCGTGTGCCACACTCTCTGTGCGACCATGCAGTTCATTCCGCCGTACACCAAGCCAACGATTGCACACCGCGACTTCAAGAGCAAGAACATCCTGGTCAAGACGAATCGAGAATGCTGTGTATCAGACTTTGGACTGGCAACTAGCTTCGGTGTCAATGAAAGCCTTACGGAGCGACAGGGCAAGGTAAGCGAGATGAATGTGGTCAGTAGTGGGGAATGTTGAGCTTCCATGCATGTCACGTCTCCAAAGAAAGACTTTGCTCGTTGTTCCTGCACTGCTCATGAATATATTGTAGAAATCTGAGAGTGCATAGACAGTCAATCACAACTTGGAACCGATTATTTTCCCCAACAGAACAGCACTTATCCTGGAAGGATTGTGGCCCAGGTAAGCAATGAAAAGAGAATCAAGGCCACAGCCCCAAAACCATTTGGACAAAATTGACTCCTGAAGTTTCCCAATGACTACTATGCCAGCGAGCAGTCGGTTTAGGCGTATCCTTTAGTCAACGTGCTGGTGACTTCAATGTGTCAGTGAACTTACGAGTTGGTGTAGCTTTTGATCTTTTACACTGTTACACACATTGTTGCTGAAATATGGCTTGATGAAGTCTTCTTCCTTGCTGGTGCAGCGGCAGAATGTCTGCTGACAGATTGTGACAGGGTACGTGGGGTATGCGCACGTGAGTTCTGGTCCATCGCCAACTTCCCCAGTGTAGCCAGCACAGTTGTGTGCACCGTCATTACCTCGTAGCACGCTCGGGCTTTCATGTAGTAATCTTACTCTTGCTGGAGCGCATATGTATATACATACCGGGAAGTATTGTATTTCTTTCCCTTAGTTATTAAAAAAGTGAGTATTCACAGTATTGCATTTGCATGTGCCGGCTTTCGTTTAGCTGCCCGTTTAGAATGTCACGGTCTACTGGCTGCAGGCTGCAGACTGTACATGTAGACTAACTGTTATAATTCTGTGCACATAGGCAATCATGTGCATGTGCTTGTGTGTAATACCATGCTCTACTGTGCGCAGGTGGGAACGACACGCTATATGGCACCGGAGGTGCTCGAAGGAGCCATTACCTTTCAAATGGAGTCGTTCCTGCGTATTGACATTTATGCGTTTGCTCTGGTGATGTGGGAGCTCATCACAAGGTGCAACTTCAATGGAGGTAAGCGGCCCCAGTCAAGGTAGAGTCGTACTAATTTCGTGGTGCACTGAAGAGGTTGCGAGCGTTGTTTCCTCCATAATTATGTGTGTTGAAAAAATGGCGACTGCATCCCAAAAGTGGTGTCACCAATGTTCTTGCAAGTCGTCGCTCGCTGAAATTACATTAGTTGCTGGCATAGGAGCGATGACGTTTGCGAGCTATTTTCTTCTTGAGTGGGGGGGGGGGGGGCTGCAACGGTAGTGTTTGTATGAAGCATTCCTCATCAGGTAGGCTCGGATTCCACATGTACCTGGCAACACCATGTCTAGCTTGTGAATCGCTCAAGCAATTCTCTTCTTGTGTCTTATCGATCCTATTGCTGCCAGTACCCGCCCAGGAATACCGGGAACCGTTTGTGGACGAGGTCGGACAGAGCGCCACACAGATGAACATGCTGAGGTGTGTGGTGACGAAGAAGGAGAGACCTCGCTTTCCACCTCACTGTGTTAACCACCAGGTGAGTACTGGTGGCTTGGGTGTGCTGAGATACCTCGGACTGGTCAAGTGACAGTTTGCACTGCATGCGCTTCACGAGGTCCTGTATGTGCCGAACCTCGTGCTCACCATCCTTCGTCACTCAACGCAGTGATGAACAGCACCTGGAACTCCATGATTTGTTGAGCGGAGTGACGTGAACTGGGGTATGGCAGATTATATTATATTTTTCATGTTCTACTCCGGTACAATCCTACTCTTATTCTCAATGTGCCGATATGCTTTCCGGCTGCTGCTGGCATGGGTGACGGTGATTTGTGCTGTTTGCCTTTCTGCATGGCTAGCGCTTGGAAAAGATCGTTGGCATTGTCGCCGAGTGCTGGGATCCTGATCCGGAGGCGAGACTCTCCGCTCAGTGTTTCCTGGACAACCTGATGGAGGTGATCGAGGACCCAGGGCTGAAAGCAGAGGATGACGATGCGATGCCTACGGTGAATATTCCACCAATGGGCAAAGACAATGAGCCAGACTTCATGGCAAGCATCACAACTGGCAGAAGTCAGGTTGGTCTCAATCAATATTCCACCTTATAATCAGCAAATATGTGGGTCAAGGCATTTTCGGACCTTGGAGGAGGAGGAGATGGGGGGGGGGGGGGGGGGAGGGGGGTAGACATTGGTATTGGTGCATAGCTGCTTGTTGCAGGCACGTTGCGAACACTGATCTTCAGAAGTGCACCAGGTGTCGCCTCCTCTGTGAAGGCTCATGACTTCATATGCAAAGTGCACCGCACGTTCAAGTCCTTCAGTGGCACTTCACTCTGTTCTCATCACTGTTGTGGAATCCGGAGCTTTGGTATTTCTCTGCCCCAAACAACCGTCTACAGTGCGCTTCCTAAAATTTCAGTTGTTCCTACTTGCAAACCGGAATGTTTGCACAATTGGTTTGGCTCAGGCTTGGATTTTTGATCAAGACGCTATCTCTTCAGTGCTCTCCAGTGGTCACGTATAAAGTATCGTAGTGACGCGCATTGAAGCGCATGTGCCTATATCCGGGCATAAGCGCACCCTCACAAATAAGCGGATGGGCTTATAAGTGAACCTAAATGCAATTCGATTCGCGACACACGGACACGGCACGAAAACACCATGTTCACATAGTTTACTGTGCAGTGTGTTATCGCACTATTTGCATAATATTACGAGGCACCTGTACACTACTAGCAACTCAAGCGCACGCGCCTACATGTATGTGTGAGACTAAACGACCCTAACAAGTTATAGCAAATAACGCAAAAACTAACTCATAAGCGCATGGCCCTTTATGTGCGTCACTACGGTATCATTTGTTCACACTGAACTACATAATGCACATGTTTGTATCGTGTTTCTGTTGCGCTTATGCCACACCTATCCGCACACGCACGCACACACACACACACACACACACACACACACACACACACACACACACACACATATATATATATACACGCACGCACACAGCAGTATGATGCTCCTGGTCAGAACGGCAGTACGTCTGGCCCGCCTGCCTACTCGTCCGGTAACTTTGGCCACGACGGCGTGCCCAATGTTCTCATACGGGAGAATGCAGATTACCACGAGGCAGCGGGCACTGCACCACCGCCCGAGTACGACACATTTACGGACGACAGCACGTCACACTATCGAGAACAGCAGTCACAACAGGCCAGGTGAGTGTGATGTGCGATGTGTGCTTCAGCCAACCTTGCCAGTAAGCAGTAACCACCTTTGATCATGCATGGGGACAGTGTCATTATTCGAGAGTTGTCGTTGTTCGGGAGGTTCAAAGTCTGCTATCGAATGGTCACTAGCTCCTAAGATTGTGTCGTTATTCGCGAACTGTTGTTATACCCAAGGTTGTTATACCCGAGGTTGTTATACCCGAGGTTGACTGCATGTGTACTCTTCATGCCGTAGATTTGTGTTCAAAATAATGCAATTCTCCGCATTGTAAACATCTGCTGTGCAAGCTTTTATGTCAAATCGCTCTCTGGAAGGCTCAGATAACCGTCTTCCTGTCCTGTCTGTCTGACTGTCTGAGCCCCCCCCCCCCCCCCCACACACACCTTCGACGCGTTTGCTGTGCAGTGAAGCCGAGACCCTAGGTCGGTGGAGCACATCAGACCCCGTCACCACGTCCACGATTCATGCCTGCGATGCTGCACCGCTGCTTTGCATGTCATGATTGGAAGCTGTGGCCTTAGTAAAAAAAAAAAAAAAAAAACCTCATCTTGCCAGTCAAGGTGTGGACGTGAGTTGAGCTGTCCCCACTTCGGCGATGGCGTGTTGTATTGGCTATCAACACCACTTCGCTTGCACTCGGACTACCACATTTGTATTTCACAGACTTCTTTTATGAGAATCGGAATACAACTCTTGCATCATCTCAGAACTGTAACGGAGAGTTTGCTTTTCTTTGCTTTGACTCAGGATGCCGAATGGCGGTCCCCATCGCTATAACAACCACGGCGCCAATCATGACGTCGGCATGTCATCAATGTCCTCTCAAGGTCCTGCCGGTGGGCACTCCGCACATTCTGCTGCTAGCTACTCGAACGGCCATGTACCTAATGGGCACGGCCACTGGAACAACAGTAGCAGCAGTGGCGCCGGCGCCAGCAGCAGAGGCAATGCTGCTGCTGCTGCTGCGTTGCCCTCTATGTCCAATCATGTAGATGATGGCCTGGTCTCTGCGTCTTCACAGCTACCAGCACGCGGAGAAAGCCTATCGCGGGATGCGAGAAGTCCATCAGCCAACGTTCAAGAGTCCAGCCTGTAACTTAATTAATTGCAGTGTTTTTGGCCCGATGGCAATGCTGCACATGTGCACGCTACTGTTGAGTATTTACTAATCTTCTTTCTGATCAGCTGCTATAAACCGGTACCGCAATCCATTTTGTACAGTCCTACTAAGGTTATCTGAACCCGGTTATCCGAACGTATCAATTTTCCAAACGCACAGATATGCGCATTCTGCACATCACATCGTACATTTCGTCTTGACAATTTTTTTCTTTATTTTCTGCTGCTGGCATGGATGATTTGAGAAGCTCGAAATGACTGACAATGATATCAAGCATGTTGCACCTGCGGCAAATGTCGATAAGGTCTTTGGCAGATGTGGGCGTTTTATTCAATATTCTGCAACAATTTTTTAAAAATTTGATGGACCCGGAACTGAACACTGGCTAATTAACACATTTACACACATCCAGATCTAAATGCTTTGGCTTATTATCAAGCACTCATAATGCTGTTCACACTTCCCCTATAACTACAACATGTCACGTTTATATTGAGCTATGCAAGCACCAAGCAGGGAGTACGGTGCTTGTGCTGCTGCTCCAGTCAGATCAGGCACTACCGACACGTTCCAAGTTGGCGATGTTTCGTTTATAATAATAGATACTTTAATGTATTGTTATGCAGTTGTAGCAACTCTATAATTCTGTTTTACTGACATACCACTAGTACCATGTCTGTTTCTGAACGGTGAAGTGTGTAAAGATGAATACTTGCTGCCCTACTGCCCTAGTGTACTTGTTCGATCTACGTAGTCGTAGCATGCCAGTATTCTAAAATAAGTACTGCCCACAGATTCTAGAACCGTGCCGTTCTATGAAGTTTCTTTCAGTAGTATTTCAGCTTTAACTTAATTCACTGCATCTGGGGGTGGGGGCGCGGGTTGTAAGCTCCTGTCCCGGCCTGGTGTATGGAGATCGAGAGCCAGGTATGGAGGCCGGCGCTGAAGAGACATTACGACTTATCGGTGAAGAGCACATAACCTCCAGGTCTTTGTCACAAAGTAGCGGCTACTTCTTGGGGTCAGGCCCAGAACCAAGCGAATGTAACTAAAGTTACTTGCACATTATACAAACTAAGTGCAGTGGTACGACTTGCCATGCTCAAGCATAGTAACTTAGTTTTCCTTCTTGTTTCTCTGCAACGATGAATTTCATACTAGAATTTTTTCCAGTCGGGATACTGGTAGATAAATATGGTGGTAAAGACACACCTGGCAATATGGCGGTAAATACACGCCTGCCCACACACGCTCTCTAGGCTGCAAAGTTCTGGCACAGAGCTCTCTCTGATGGTGGTGGTGGTGAGAAGGAGAGCTCTGTGCCAGAACTTTGCAGCCTAGAGAGCGTGTGTTGGCAGGCGTGTATTTACCGTCATAATATTGCCAGGTGTGTCTTTACCACCATATTTATCAACCATAAGTACAGCTGCAGTGGTGTCTTCAACTTCATTCTCCCGGGATACCGGTGGGGTGCCATATGTCCCATGCCGAAGTGTGAAAAAGATCCAACTTCTTTGGGAAAATGGAGAGCCTAAATACTGAAATTTCTCCATCTACAGTCAACTTCGCTAATAACGACTGCGGATATAACGACAATTCGCGAATAACGACAGAATTTCCATGCCCAGAGCAAAGTCCCATCCCACTGTAATATATATAATGAGACTTCGGGTATAACGACACTTCGCGAATAAGGACACTTTTTTGATGCCCCGCCGAGTGTCGTTATAAGCGAAGTTGACTGTTCTCCAATACAAAGTCTATCTCTCTGACGTCATAAATCCGGCCTAGTCTGGGCAAGTTAACGACGTCATCATGATGTCACCAAATGTAGTGCAAACTTCAAGCTGACAGAGCTCGAGAACGGCTGCGCCGATCAACCTGGGACCTTCACCATTGGAATCAGTGCATTTTTCAATACAGGTTGTGATGTTTTCATTTTAGGGTGAACTTTCCCTAAAAAAAAGAAAAAAGAGCAATAATTCAACCCAACCTCCAACTGCATGGTTGTACAGTCACTGTCAACGACCCTCGACCGGGCATGCGAAAAGTGGTGTTGCTTTTGCGAGTCATCGTTATTCACGAGGTTAGAAGTATGAAGTCACATGGGTTTGGCCTGAAGATAGCGTTGTTATTCGCGAGCTGTTGTTATATCCGAGGTTGACTGCAGCTATTGTGTACTCACGATCGCCCTGGTCAGTACGAGTACTCAGTCCCTGCACCAAGACCGAAAAAGTAATCCAAAAGTTCACCCAAAACTTGTACTTTTTAAAGGGGAAAAAATTTTCACGGTTCGCGTGAGACTCGGTTTATCTATATAGCTGCCGAGTTTTCCGCATCCGTAGGAACGACACCACCCTTCAAGGATCAAGGCGCAGATGCAGCTCCTAAAGCGGTGGGAGGTGAGTAGATCAGCTCACCAGCATGTGGTCAAAGACCAAAAATCCCATTCACTGCATCCATGTTCTCCTCGTGCCAGGCCACGAGTTGGGTTGCAGCACGGCTGGAAAAAATCCTTCCGCTTCCAAGCAGGACTTGAACCTGGTACCCTCTGTTTCTCAATCATAGTCTTAGACCATCCCACTATGCCTGCCTGCCTAAAGGGGAAGTATACTCTAAAATCAAATGTTCACCAGTTGTAGTCTTCAGGAGTGCTGAGTCGAATGGTCTTGGTTCGAGGAAGCGGAGACGCTCCCTTCCTCCTCCTCCGCCTTTAACATATGGGCCAATCGCGGTCGTCCGTGCTGTTATTATTATTATTATTATTATTATTGTAGAGAGGAAAAAGGACATAGGGAAACGAGTTAAGAGTAACTCTCCACCACTGTAACTAGATACTACTTGTATATACAGTCAGAAAGTGCAACAACTAGGCACAAAACTGACAGAGTATTGAGACATTCGACGTCCTCACACCAAGCTTCAACACATCTCCGTAGCGCTAACCGACAGCCTTCCAACTCGGAAGATTCAAGGTTATGGAGAGACCAAAGAGGGGAAGGTAAGCGCAACGAAAATGAGCACAAGCTACAGTCCCAACGGAACAAAGAATGTCGATTGTTACTGGACGATGACGAGACAAGTAGGATACTTGACAAAGTGGTCTAACTACAATTCGAAGCAGCAAAGCAGCACACCACCCAACTTGGGTGGCTCAGAAATATCAAAGATAAGTACAGAAGGGGGAAGCCTTGCGAAAACGAATTGTACAAGCCGAACGCCAAACTCCTACAGTACTCCTCATACATGACATTGTGATGGACTAGTTGACTACAAAACAAGTTGTTTCACACGACGTACGTTTCGCCGTATGGTTCGTGACGGCTCATCAGGTGTGCAATTTGAAACTCGGGTATTGAGCCAATAATTAATGTAGAAAGGAAAAAGGACATATGGAAACGAGTTAAGAGTAACTCTCCACCACTGTAACTAGATACTATATACAGTCAGAAAGTGCAACAACTAGGCACAAAACTGACAGAGTATTGAGACATTCGACGTCCTGACACCTAGCTTCAACACATCTCCGTAGCGCTAACCGACAGCCTTCCAACTCGGAAGGTTCAAGGTTATGGAGAGACCAAAGAGGTAACAATCGACATTCTTTGTTCCGTTGGGACTGTAGCTTGTGCTCATTTTTGTTGCGCTTACCTTCCCCTCTTTGGTCTCTCCATAACATCGAAACTTCCAAGTTGGAAGGCTGTCGGTTAGCGCGACGAAGATGTGTTGAAGCTAGGTGTCAGGACGTCGAATGTCTCAATACTCTGTCAGTTTTGTGCCTAGTTGTTGCACTTTCTGACTGTATATAGTATCTAGTTACAGTGGTGGAGAGTTACTCTTAATGATAGCTTGCATGCCGTCCTACCGGTAGGACCCAAGAAATCGAGCTGCAAAAGTGCTTTTGGTTGAGAAATTTCTTGAAACAATTATTGAGATGAGGTCTTTGTCAGGCAAAGTAATGGCACAAAATGCAAGGCTATGTCCAGTCGTATGCGCAATTTGATCGATTGTCAAAATGGCCGCACATAAGCCTGTCGGTGCGCTAGCAACTCTGTCCAAAGTGAATTTTGACCATGGCACATCAATCGTGGTGAGGTCCTGTTTTTCTTAGCTTGCCAAGGCAGTGGAATGCATAATTCCATACTCCATTTCCATGGTTACCATGGGCTGTTACCATGGAATTTTGTAGTGTCTTGTGCGACCGCGTCTAAAATTTGTGGACTCCTTCATTAGCCCCTGAGCAACAGTTTAGGGTCAAGTTTTAGGTCAATGTTAGAACAGAGGCCATGCAGCATGTCTGTGTATGATGGTCCTACCGGTAGGTCCTACCGGTAGGACCGAGGTCTATGCAAGCTGTCATTAACTCGTTTCCATATGTCCTTTTTCCTTTCTACATTAATTATTGGCTCAATACTAGGGTAGAACTGCACCCTAAACTGCCCAAGACTACTTCTGCACACCTTGGCCGTGAATGGACACGCTCAAGCCCAGTCCGTGGCCTACTATGGACTTGCAGTGGCACCTGCCGGGAGCCAAGTGGACACAAAACTAGTCAACTGTACAAACTACAGTACAGTACCTTCTGTATACAAGGAAGATCAGTGCATGTACATGTATGTACAGAAATCGTGTGTTGACCTTCTTTTGAAGTGAAAACGAAGGTTTGTTTCAAATGAAAAAGAAGGTTCTTCGAACCTTTGACACCTTCGTTTCACCCCTACTCAATACCCGAGTTTCAAATTATTATTATCATTATTTATGAAATAGTGGTTGCGACTTCGGCGATGATTTTTTAGGAATGGGTTTGCTCCCACACTGGAGCTCGCACTATTCCGCCGACTTGACTTGACACTTGACTGACTCACGACTGCCATCCAGAGCAGTGTGCTCTGGATGGCACTCGTGTGCTCTGGATGGCACTCGTGTGCTCTGGATGGCAGTCGTGAGTCAGTCAAGTGTCAAGTCAAGTCGGCGGAATAGCGCGAGCTCCAGTGTGGGAGCAAACCCATTATTATTTATTCATATTTTAACCAGTGTGGGAGCAAACCCATTATTATTTATTCATTCCCGTAGCTATGCAGAAGACGTTACGTCAGTAACGTCTGGCGCTAGCCAGGGTCCACACAGCTTTAATTTGGTGTTTGTTTGTTTGTTTGTGTGTTTGTGTCACGCCTGGCGCTATCCCGTATCTGTCCCGTGCCGTACCATCAAACACAGCTGGCCACATACAACTGGCCGCACTATTCAAATAGGGCTTTCAAACGCAAGATCATAACGTGAAGCAACTTGGAAGAATGAGTACGAGTATGAATGCGAAGTGTATGGGGGAATGCATGCAGGGCGATAGTGCGGGTTCGAATCCCAGGAATGCCTGAAAAAAATAGGAAAATTGAAAAATTTATAACATCCCTATTCTTTTTTTGCCGTCATCAAGGCGGTAGATGGTGTCGTAATACCCTCGACCGTACCTGTCCCGTATCTGTCCCGTACCGTACAATCAAAGACGGCTGGCCACAATGCATATTCAAATAGGGCTTTCAAATACAAGATCATAACGTGAAGCAACTTGGAAGAATTAGTATGTATACCAAGTGTATCGGGGGATGCATGCAGGGCGATAGTGCGGGTTCGAATCCCAGGTTATGTCTAAAAACAAAAAGTTGAAATTTATAAGAATTTATAACATCCCTATGCTTTTTTTTCTAGGTCATCAAGGCAAACAAGCATAGCGTAGGGCCCTGAGCTTCCAAGCTCTCTCGTATTTTAATAGGGCAGTCCCCACAGACTCAAGGTCTTCATAAGAACGAAATGGTGCTTTTAGTGACCTTTTGCATACAAGTCCCCATCTAGTAGGACGCAGTCACCCAGTTTCGGTGGAAATGGCGAGTTCGATCGGGAATAAAGGAGGCCGAAGAAGGGAGCATCTCAACTTCCTTGGACCAAGACCATTCGACTCAGCACCCCGAAGACAACTCGTGAAAAATTGATTTTAGGGTATACTTCCCTTTTAATAGTTCAAATCTTCGTTGAAAAATAATCGAGAAATTTTTAGATGTCTTGTCATTTGCAGTTTTCTCTCCATTTTAGTGCCTGTTTGTGGAAGCCTTTTTAAAGTTTTGCTTTCCGGACACCTAGATTGGGCCTTTGGCCTTATTGATGTCAGTTGAACGAAGTCGTTTCTCATTGTCTCGACGTCACTGGGAGTGTTCTCATGAGAGGTGTGAACGTATTCGTGAAAATCAGGCAAGTAGTGTTACCGTATTATCTCCAATATAAGCACAGTCTCCAAAAATAGCACGTCTCCAATAATAGAACACCTTGGGGCGGCATTCAAAAAATAAAGTGCTCAGTCTCCATTATAAGCACACTGTGTAAATTCATTATCTGTAACGGCGAAAAAAACCCTGAAATGTGTGTGTCATACATGACTTTGGCATGGCAACATGCCTCTGAAATGAGGTTGAAATAATAATGGAACAGTCTCCAATAAAGGAACGTCTCCATTAATAGCACGGGGCGGAGGTACATTGAAAAAATAAAGGACCGTGCTTATATTAGAGATAATACGGTAGTTAGTGTCAAAGAAAAATTCGCCACACTTTGGGCACGTCACTACAGAGTAGTACATGGTATATACAGAAGCCTTGCTTGGTAGTTAACATGTTTTTCGATTTTGACAGCATGTTACAAGGCGTTTATGGTTGTAGTCAGGAGCACTACGCGTCCTCGCCTTGTAACATGCTGTCAAAATCGAAAAACAGAGTAGTACATGCAGTGTATCACGACAATTTTTGCTTTATGAGCAGGATATCTAGGACTTAACGTACCTGAGGTCTCGGCGGTGTCCGGTAGTTATTGGCTTGGTTCTCACGCCAGCAATTACAAGCCTTATGGCTTCCAAAACACATAAATAATCCTGCACGACGTATTAAAAATAATTTAAAATTGAGAAAGGTGGCTCTGCTGTAACATGACCGGGATATCTCTGGGGGAATGGCTTCCAGATTGTGTTTAGGGACTGTCCTAGCCCTCCCGGCCTCAGCATAGCAGGCGAAGTCACGATAGTATTCATGGAAATCTTCCATGCCCAATCGAAGACGATCGCAACGGTGATTCTGCTCGACCACATGCACACATGCACAGCCTCAGCTCAGGAAAGTCGAAAAAGCGGCATCGTCATCTTCATCCCATGAATATTCGGCGATCTGAGCATGCATGCATGAGCTGAGCCGATCTTCGGCGCGGCCTCAGTGTCAATGACATCATGCATGATTCATGAAATAATTCGAATAAATGGCATGCATTGCGTGACTTGCGTGTATGAACCAGGGAGTAGTACAATACAATACTCCCTGGTATGAACTATGATACTCATACTCATACAATTATTAAAGGGGAAGTTAAGGCAAAAATTAAAATTTCACCAGTTGTAGTCTTCGGGGTGCTGAGTCGAATGGTCTTGGTCCGAGAAAGCTGAGACGCTCCCTTCCTACTTGAATCCCAATCGAACTCGCGCACTTCCACCGAAACTGGGTGACTGCGCCCTACTAGATGGGGATTTGTATGCAAAATGTCACTAAAAGCGCCATTTCGTTCTTATAAAAGCACGGATGACCGCGATTGGCCCATATGTTGTAGTCTTTTGGACGCTGAGTCGACTGGTTTTGGTCTGAAAAGGCTGCGATGCAGCGTTCCTCCTTTATTCCCAATCGAACATGGTTGAAGAAGCGGTCACGTGCTCCTGCGTACACCAGTCACCTGGTCACCGTGCCTGCAGGGTACAACTTACTAGCCTGTTTGACCTTTTTTGGGTGCAGTCCTGTCACTCGAGTTGAACCCGAGTTGAACCTTGGTGTGAAAGTTGTCACCTGCTGGCGTGGTGACCAGGTGATTTGGGCACCCAGGACCACGTGACCGCTTCTTCAACCATGTTCGATTGGGAATAAAGGAGGAACGCTGCATCGCAGCCTTTTCAGACCAAAACCAGTCGACTCAGCGTCCAAAAGACTACAACATATGGGCCAATCGCGGTCATCCGTGCTTTTATAAGAACGAAATGGCGCTTTTAGTGACATTTTGCATACAAATCCCCATCTAGTAGGGCGCAGTCACCCAGTTTCGGTGGAAGTGCGCGAGTTCGATTGGGATTCAAATAGGAAGGGAGCGTCTCAGCTTCCTCGGACCACGACCATTCGACTCAGCACCCCGAAGACTACAACTGGTGAAATTTTAATTTTTGCCTTAACTTCCCCTTTAATTTTGGTACCAATGCATTAGTAATTTGTTGCCAATAGGTTTCTCTCATCTACAATCAGTGACAGTGCGACAAATTCGGCTACTTATCTTTCTCTCCCCCCCCCCCCCCCCCATGTCCACGATTTCGAGGCGGCTGGGGCCCTCAGCTACATGTAGTAGTAAGACGAAAGAGACGAGGAGAAATTGAGTTGTTGACGAGGTTGAATACATGTAGACGATTTCTCAAACTGGCGGGCGAGATATTCTGTGCACTCGTAGTACATGTAGAAGATGAGGATGCTCCAGCAACTGATCAGTGATGGATGGTGAAACAAGAGCCAGCAGTAGCAAAGCTGGTCGACGTGTCGTGGAGTCATACACATTCGAACGGTAATTATTATTAGTCTTGATCTCATTTTCTGATTGAGTACACCTAAAACTAGAAAGAAAGAAAAGCTTCATTATGTCAGCTGCTGTGCAGTACCTCAATAGGGCATAAGTATAAACACTTTTTACTTAAGCTTTTAGTGTCAACCACCGGATCAAGAGATGCCAGTGAGTATCCTTCATATACATGTACCTGCACATACTAGAAACTGTTGTTGTTTTTTAGAGGTTATGTGCCAGGGTCTCTTGATTTGCAAACGGAAACGGTTGAAAAGGAACAATATTTTGTTACAATAATATTGTCTTTGTTAGCTGTACCATACTACGACTCTATGTCGAGGTATCCTGATTGCTGAAACTGGGGTATAGACCATCGTCTTGTCGTCGTCGTTTTTTGAATTCTTTATTCTCACGATGGCACCATCGCCAATAAGAGGTCGTTGTTGTTGTTGTAGTTGTTGCTGTTGTATTATTTTAATTGTCATTTCAAACGGGAAAATATACCTTCTTTAATCTTTATACACGAAGTCGACGGAGAGTTGAGGACCAAGGATTAAACCCACAGGAGACAGAGAAAAACCTTATGGACGAAGAAGAGGCTAGGTTTTTGCAGTGACCGAGTCAGGAAGAGAAGAAGGAAATGTCAAGTTAGTTGGCCGTAGCGATATACATGTATGCGAAGAAGGGATGTGCATGCTATTAGCTTATTAAAGAATTATAAAGGTCTGCCAAGTCGAGAAGTTTAAGGGCTGTTTTCAATGCTAATGGTTACGCATTGAGTCTTACAGAGGGGGAGAGGGAATTCTAGAACAAAGAAAGCGTAATACCTCATACTTAAAGAGGGGGAGAGGGAATTCTAGAACACAGGAAGCGTGATACCTCATATTGAACACGCGTGATGTAATTTACATGCATTCGACTTTCTTGGAACATTTGGCCACTTCTCCTAGTATATCTCCATAATCCCACGCATGTTTTAGTAGCGTCGTAATATTTGTCTCGGTAACTTTGAATAGTTTTCTTTTCAAGCTTATGGCATGTGTTCCCCTCACTCTGTCGCGCGATCATGCATTTCTCCTCCAAGGGCAACCCGTGCCTTGAAGGAAACGAGCCAGTAGAGTTTCTTCTCGAAAGAGTGATGGCAACAATCCTTTAGTGAACAACAAGACGGCACAATGGTCTAGAAATCAAGAACAACACTGTGTATATGTACAGTTGCGCTCGATGAAATCCGACCCAAAGTGTCACAGCTGGCGCCGTGGACCAGTTCTGGTTGCATCACTGAATTTGTGCATGTGTATGCCTAGCCGCATTCGTACCACTTGTACGTAAAGGGCCGTGCGATTTGAGGGTGCCAAATATGCACTTTTGGTCGGATTTCACTGAGCACAACTGTACCATGCATGTACAGTGAAGACAGGATATAACGACAAATCGAGTTTAGCGACAAAATTCTGTTGCCCAAGTCATTTAGCAAGTCCTTTCTGTACATTATAGATCGGGTATAACGACCTCGAAAATAACGACAGATCGAATTTACTGACACCTGTTGGTGCCCGAAGACCTGAAAATGCATCGAATATAACGACTTTCCTATTGTATCAGGCGGAGTGGCATGCATGGGACATGTCTGTGTCACATGCCCGGACCTCTGGGTCACTCCCCGCGTGCTGATCATTGCACATTGTAGCCACAGTGCAGCGGTGTGGTTGCTATGCATATTTTTTGGCTTGAACTATGCATGCAAGCCACATGCACCTCTGAAATCCGTATGCATTATTTTATGCGCGTGCATATCTGCATTAAATTTCTGTCGTTTTGATATACACATTGCACACTAAATGTGAAGATCGGGTTTAGTGACAGATCGAATATAGCGACATTTTGTTTTCTCCCGGAGGAGTGTCGTTATATCCAATCTCCACTGTATGTGGAGTGTGCAATTTACACAAGTTCACAATGGCCGGAAACTTTTCTTCTTTACCATCAGACAACATAATGGATGCTGAAATCTATACTAGGGGTGCCTACTTCAGTAGGAATATAATGGGAAGGTGCACTAGAAATTGCAATGGGGATAAGCACAGCAGGAAAGACAGCGACAACTTTGCTTTGTAGAGTGTGTAATTTATAGGTAATTGATGATGTCAGATGTAAGCGGTAAAGCATACCACTGGTGTACATGTGGAGTGTGTTTGTTTGCGGCGGTGCAAATGCAGCAGCGTCCATTACCCTCTCTTGACGTTGTTGTTGTTGTTGTTGTACCCCATGCTTGTTGCTTGTTGATTGGCATGTTTAGGCAGGAAGAAAAGGCTTTCCTGGAGCGAGTCACTGACTTGTTTCAGTCGTATAGCAACCAGGTCAGTAGATAGCACACACAGTAGTTTGATGCCATAGAATTGCTGATACCGGTCCTATTGTAGTATGCTTCCTTCATTTTGACAACTCGTGTTGTGTATTTTCCCGTACAGGAGGCTTTGTTATTGGTAGTGCAAGCTAGTCATGGGACTGACATTTTAGTAGATATGCTGTGATGTGCTGGAGATGAGTGATAACAAGAATGTGAGAAATGGTGCAAGATATATATATATACACTCAGACACAAAGGATCTCCAAGTTTCTCTCCAAGTTTCTCACTGTTGCTACTCTAAGTTTCGTGCAAAAGCACTCTTCAGGCAGTTGCCTGAAGAGTGCTTTTGCACGAAACTTAGAGTAGCAACAGTGAGAAACTTGGAGATCCTTTGTGTCTGAGTGTATAACCCCGCTCTGTCTTAGGACATTGAGCACTTTTTGCCGACGCAAGAAATACTTCTATTGTTCTATATATATATATATGTGTGTGTGTGTTTGTGTGTGTGTCTGTGTGTGTGTGTGTGTGTGTGTGTGTGTGTGTGTGTGTGTGTGTGTGTGTGTGTGTGTGTGTGTGTGTGTGTGTGTGTGTGTGTGTGTGTGTGTGTGTGTGAGAAGCTGATCGCTGTTATCCGTGCATTCCATGACGGCATGACCGCAACTCTCCGTCTGTCGAATGTTGAAGCTGACCCCATCCCTGTGACGAACGGCTTGCGGCAGGGATGTTGCATGGCCCCTGTCCTATTCAACATCTTTATGTGGGCAGTGATGCATTGTTGGCGCCAGCACGTGCAACCTATCCATGGTGTAGGCGCAAAGGTCTTCTTCGAGCCAGATGGGAAGCTACTCCACCACCGTAGCCGCCGTGATAGATCCCTGGAGCTGACAGAGTGTCAGTTTGCTGATGATTCCGCTCTTGTGGCCGCGACACGCCAGGCCGCAGTTTCAGCCTTGGAGGTATTTGTGGATGTATGCAGCGATTTGGCCTCACCGTCAATGCCACCAAAACCAAGTTCATGGTCTCTGGCCCCAACATCTCTAACGACGATCTAGGGCCGCTCGCATTTTGAACTATGGAGATTGCCCATGTGTCGTCTTTTCGTTACCTCGGATCCAACATACACAGCAACGGCCGATGTCATGATGATGTCACATCCCGGATTGCACAAGCTGCCAAAGCGTTTGGCGCTCTGAAGAAATCGATACTCCACGATGTAACACTGACAATATCCATCAAGCGGTCAGTGTACAATGCTTGTGTGCTGTCAACTCTGCTCTATGGGTCCGAATGCTGGGTACCGCTACAGGCTGATGTTCATGCGTTTGTCTGTCTTTCATCTCCGTTGTGTCCGCACCATTCTGGGCATCAGTCGTCAAGATGTATGGAATGACAGGATAACTAATGTTGAAGTTCTGGAGCGCTGGGGAGATACCTTGAACATGGAGTGTCGTCTCAGCAGACGTCGCCTTGAGTGGCTTGGTCATGTGGCAAGGATGGAGGATGAGCGCATCCCGAAGGCTCTACTGTTCGGTTCGTTTCCAAACAAGAGACCTGCCCATGGTCCGCGGAAAAGGTGGCGAGACTGTGTTCGAAGTGACGTCAAACCACTTGACGACTGGTATGAAGTGGCCACCTCTTCTCGCTCCAAATGGCGCAAGGCTTACCATTGTCTGCCAGACAAGCAGAACAAACCTCGACCACCACCGGTTGTGTGCCAAACTTGTCACCGCTCCTTCAGTCGTGTAAGTGACAGGAAGCGACACAAGTGTACAGCTACGCGTGCCCTACCCGTAAGCCAACAGCCAGGAAGTTGTCACTGCGACCAGTGCAACAGATGGTTCCGGAGCAAGGGTGGATTTGCCCAACACAAGTGCTCGCCAGCAACATCACCAGCAGAGGCATCTTCTGACACACTTGAGTCACCGGTTACGAACAATATGTCCTGCGAACGCTGCAGTTTCCACTGCGCCCGCTGCAACCGCTGTGTGCTATCGCGCCAAGGCATGAAGCGCCACAAGTGCAGCCGTGGCTCAGCCAGAGCAACCAACACAGACCGTAGCTCCTTCTGCATCGTTTGCAATTGCGGTCGGCGTTTCAGTAGACCACAGGACCTATCCCGTCATCGCCCCTACTGTTCCGAACCTGCTCAACCCCCCCCCCCCCCCCCCCCTGGGGTCCGCATGGCCAGAATATGGCAGCGCGTCCAAGGTGTGTGTGTGTGTGTGTGTGTGTGTGTGTGTGTGTGTGTGTGTGTGTGCACATATGCGTGTGCATGTGTGTGCGTGTGTGTGTGTGTCTATGTCTGTGTGTCTATGTTGTGTGTCTGTGTGTGTCTGTGTGTGTCTATGTCTGTGTATCTGTGTGTGTGTGTGTGTATCTGTGTATCTGTGTGTCTATGTGGGTGTATCTGTGTGGAGAGTGGCAGCACTGGTGAAAGGTGCTGGCACGTATGACTCCAGCTCCATATCAGTCTACTTCTATGTCGCGCTAACGTATTCGCACACAGACACAGCTCTCCACTTCTCCCCTCCCTTTCTCCCAGAACCTTTCACCATTGCAGCTACTTTCCGCACTCATACACATCTATCTGGCATACTTCTCAGAATCTTCTTATCGAAAATAAAAAGGACCAAGGAACTACAAGTTACGCTATAATGTCCAGTAACACCACCAGTTACTAAACAATCAGCTCATGCGACAACATTGCACGGCACCGAGTCCAATCTTCTTTTCACTTATCTTTAGTACCTCACAGCATATCCACTCAATCTCTCGGTTGTTCGTCTGTAGTTTCGCTGTTTCACCCCAGGATGGGCCATGCCCGAAAATTTCATGAATCTAGAGAGATGTGTTAAGGAAAAGGATTGTCTGTGTGTGAGTGTTTGGACTGAGTGAAAATAAGCCGTAAATGACTACTTTGAAGCAATCCACTGTATCTGCATTGAGCTTTTGTTTGTCAATGGCAGTAACTGTTTCCTTCTGGACAACAGGCACCTTAAAGTCAGTAATTTAGTAGAGCAAAGATAAAACGAAGGTTGCCGACACCTTGCAACTAGTATAATTTAATATCCAAAAAATTATGTCTCTGATCGCACAAGGTCGACAGCCATCGTAAGATTCATGTCTTCCTATTTAGGCTGTGTGTTTTCATTTTTTCTTGTTTCTGTCTTTGTGCTGTGAAGGATGGCAGCTGCAGTCAGCCAGAGCCTGTGTCATGGATCAGCTTCTTGCAAGCAGACTGCTTGACAGAATGGTGGCTGTATAGAGCCTGCTACCAGGGGCCTGCCGGCAGCAGCAGTTCCAAGATACGGCCGGACGCCAATACTCCACCGCCGTGCTCCTTTGTTGCACTGTCGACTCCATCTTGCCTGCAGGTGAGAAAACTGCTTATTGTTTACGATAGTTCACTACAGTATCAGCCATTGCCACACAGTTTTGTGGTCGCTTTCCACTGAGATTTCATCTTCGTAAAGTCATTCATTTTGGTAGACTAGCAGAGAGTATCATACTGATTCTGAACCTGCAAGAAAACTTGGGGTCCCCGTATCCGTTCCTTGTGATATTAAAACATTCGAGCTTTGGAATTTGGGCAAAATATCAACACTTGCAACCTTTGGAGCACTGGAACAGTAGTGACTGAAAACCCGGTGGACCCCTATTTTCATTACACAGAATAATTCCGAAAATACTAGGGCTCAAACGGTCACGGTTTTCACCTTAACGGTTAACTGCTACGCTAACGGTCGGTTTATCGGTTATAACCTATAAGCCGCGGCAGTCTGGCGAGTAGCTGGTTTGAACAGTATAGTTCAATATACTCGTTTGAAAATGTACCATGCTGAATGCTAGTAATACATGCACATGTTTGCACGCTCATTCACACATATCCACAGACCAGAAGCACTAAGATAGCATGAAATTGATTCAAATTGTCACGGATGGTACTATTGAAGTACACAGAGAAAACGGCAAGAAGAAGTACGGACTGGCGAACGGGCAACACACAACAGCAGATGGTGAAGTGTTTGCGCTTGCAGGGATCATTCTGTAAAGACAAACAGACACACACACACACACACACACACACACACACACACACACACACACACACACACACACACAAGAAACAGCAGATAAGTTACACTGCCATGTATAGTGAACCCAATATAATAGATGAACACGATTGTCAATTGTAGCTGGATGATGCCCGCATCATTATTCATTTTCACGTACTGTGGTGCAATCAAGAATTGTGGTGAGAAACAAGTTGTAATACGCATCATGCATGTAACTACAATCAGCTCTCACCGTCAGCCACAGTCAAGTCGGGCAATGGCGGCTGCTCCAACTGCTCAGCATCAACATCTTGACCCTGGCGCAGAAGTGTGGGAATGCCGTCATGATCTGCACCACTGTGTGAGCGCCCTGACTTCAGAATGGAATTCTTTGCCAGAAATACCATTGCGTCGACAGTCTCTGGGCTGAGCGAACAACAGAGTTTGTCGACTAGCAGGCCACAGGCGGAAAACACCCGCTCCGACGGTACGGAAGTGGACACTATGGACAGGTACTTCTGTGCGAGGACTGCCAAATGTGGAAACTGCTCCTCATGAACTTTCCACCATGCCAGTGGCACGGTGGAGTTAGCAGCTGGACGCCCAGCAAAGTACATGTTTACCTCCTGTTCAACAGCGGCAGACAAGCACACCTCCTCCTCTGCGGCAACGCCGAACAGCAAATCCAGACCGGACGGTTGGCAGCTTCTCTTTGCTGGTGGCTCCGAGACCTCGCTATCTGAAGTACTTTCCACCGGCTGGCAAGATACTGCTGCTGACAACACTGCATGATGCACACTATCGACCTGCACACCTATGGAAGCACAGAAGCCAAGGCTGCGGAAACGGGGATCCATGGCTGCTGACATGACCCACCTGTAGAGAACAAGAGCACAACAGCATAGACCTGAGGCTTCTCGTCAGAACCAGTAATGTGTCACATGTGTTAAAGTTCTATCTAGTGCACTGAGCCAAGCATCCGAAAGTCAGACAATCATTGACAGAAATACAGTAAGATCGGGCGCCGAAGAACACCTCGCCGAAGAACACCCAGGCTGGAAAACCGGCAAAATTTAAGAACAGTCCAGGCTAGAATTATCAGATTTAAGAACACTTTTAAAATTGTATACATTGTACATGTATGGGAGGTGAGTACATGTCATGTACACGTGTAAACAGTAACTGCTACATGTACAGTCATTCACATGTACATGTACATGTACATGACAAACGTCATGACGTCACTCGACTCGCCGCGCGCGTGTGAATAAGAACGGTCTGGCTAGAATCAAAAATTTAAGAACTTTCCTAGGCTGCGCTCGAGCCCCTGCGTTCTTCGGCGCCCGATCTTACTGTAACAGCACGAAACATTGCACACACTACATGATCATGTGCACTTGCCTGGATGATGCTTGTAGTTTGTCGAGCTTGAATTTCTTAGTCATCTCTGATGCCAAGTCCTTCCGGAAGTCATTCACGGCAGCAAATTCGTCAAAGACATCTCTGCAACGAGCGGATACAGTACACGGACTGGGAGGAAAGGACTCGGTGAGACTGAAAACAAGAAGCACAGCGCACGGCAGGTAAAAGGCAAAGGACGACTTTCACTTTGGCTCTTTCCGGCTTTCCGTACATATCTTCAGTTCAACTTCAGGTCGACCGGTCGCGATTGTCGACGGTTTGATTTCCGTACTTCATTATAGTAGTTTCAAGTACGGCACACGCTAGTTTCGCGTACATGCACTTCGAAAACTCTGTAAAAATACTAAAAATGTGTACTGCAAAAAGTAGAAAAAGTACCCGCGTAACCGTTACACAAACGGTTAATCGTTATTTTTTCAAAACCGGTCTCAAACCGGTTAATCGGACTAACTGTTTGAGCCCTAGAAAATACTACCTACACTTCCACAGAATTTGAAGAGAATTTAAAGGGGAAGTCCATTGAAAAATGAAACTTTCAGGGTCCGTAGAGTGTGTGGCGCTGAGGCAAATGGTGTTGGTCCCAAGTCTCTGCGACAGAGCGTTACGCTGGAGTGGTACATGACTGTATGCACAGATCCCACTGTTTGAGTCTATTGACTACAGCATGCGCGTAGAGAACGTGAAGAGTCCAACTCACAAAAGGCTAAAAGCTTGAACAACGTGAAGATTTGCAGAACTGAAAATTTAAGGATCCGTAGTATTTATAACACTGAGTCAAATGGTCTTGGTCCGAAGAAGCTACGACAGGCGGTTCCCCAATCGAACGCTTTCCAAACGTTGGCCATTTAGTACACACATACTTGAAGTAGATACATGGCTACCTTTCTGCACGCTTTGACGTCATCGCCTGGATGAGGTAGACTGCGCACTCACGTTCGATTGGGAATATCTAACGAACCATGGACCGCAGCCTCCTCCCAATAGAAGATGATGTTGCTGTTGTTGGTGGTGGTCAGTACATGTGCCAAGATAAGGCAGAGAACAGAAACCCACTCTTCTTGACCTGGAGCAACGGCGATGCAACCTATATCTGACCGCATTAGAATATTCCCCTCTTTGCTTAGCTGGAAATTGACGATGTCCGTACAGCTCTGATAACTTCTGATTGAGTGCAAAGTCACAGTACTGGCTTATCCACTGCCCTAGCACTAGCGCTATACCAGCACAGTGACCCTGGCTCATCCACTGCCCTAACACTAACCAGCACAGTGACTCATCCACTGCCCTAACCCTAGCGCTACACCAGCAGTCCAGCACAGTCATGACGTGCTGTGTTCTGATTGAGCGCACAGTGACACTGTACACAGGAACTCCACAGTCAGCCGTAGAGAAGGTGTCCACTAGGCAAACACATTCTCAGAATAGCAGCATGTGTGCCAAACAATCCCAGGCCAGTGCACAACTTGACACGGCTGCATTGTGGCAGGCAAGATGCAAGTGGTAATGGGGACAAGGTTTGAGCGCATGTATGTGCACGCACTTATGGTGACACATGTTATCAGTTGCCAAGTACATGCAGTGTGCCTGACTGGCTCCTTACAGCTCCACATTTCATTACATTTGGACACCGCACACGCGATCACTCAATCCACACTCCCATCCAAGGACTTCGCGATTTCATGGCTGGAATATTCATTTTTAAGAAGTGAGCATGCCTGTGGGACATACAAGTAACTATAATTTGCACGTGTAACTTACTACTTGGAAAGGGGGAGAGAGAAGTACAGTTAGTAGATATAATATACCATTCCTAGTTCCTACCAGTCTTATTCCAGAGTTTTCGTGATCAGGTGATGATAATAATTATTTGCGTAATCAACCTTTACAAATAATTTGCATATTACTTTATAGATAGTGGAATAAGATATCAAGATCAAAAGCCAGCGAGTCAGAGATAGAGTCATCAGTGATAAATAGATAGAGTACGTCATCATTGCAACTCTGTACTCAAAAGCTCATGCAAGAGTAATAGCCACGCGAAAGCGTACGACAGAAGGAAATGATCAACACGAAATGTAAAAACGAAGAGAAAAAGAGATCAAACCCGCTCCACATACTTTGGCTTGGCATTGTTGCAGCGTGCGCACAGGCATAGCCCCTGGCCAGACTGAAGTTCTTCACTGCTGCATACCCGTCCGCTGCCAATACGCCTGCACGGCATTGACTCGCCATGTGCGTACAGGTTACCTTGCCTGTCTTCACAGGGAAGGTTGCAGCGCTTGTTCCTGCGAATGGCACGCAGCTTCTTGTTGCAGTAGAACACGACTGTGCCGTGGCACATACGTCCCTTGCCGTTCTTGTGGCAGTTGGAGTCTATTAAGGAGAGTTGACCAACCGGGGTGGAAGCGTCTTCTTCAGTTGCATCAATGGAGACACTGATGGTTGGAGCAGGAACTCCAGCCACACCCAGGACACGGTGGGTGGATGGACTGACTGTACCAGTGCTGCTAGTCTCCGTCGAGTTGGCAGCATTGAAAGTGTGGTTTAAATTACCATCAGCAACGCTGTCAGCTTCTTCAACATCACCCAACACCATGTGTACCATGACGTATTCATCGGTGCCCCCTGTAATGGAAGCAGCAGGAGCACCAGACAAGAACACCAGACCAGCAGCGGTGAGAAGCAAGGCAACATGGAGAAGGGAAGACATTCTGCTGGTGGAAAGAAAGTTGGCGGAACACTGCTGCTATCACTTGTGCTAGAGGAGACTTGCTTCTGGCTTGTGAGAGCTGGGTAATGATGAGCTGAGCAAACCTGATCTCTTTTATAGTCAAGAAAGCCCACTCCACACTGTGACCAGACATTGCTCAGGACAAACAAGTGCAAAACAAGTCACACAACAAACATTGTCATCCATGAGCACAAGCATCCTGCTTCGTGCTTTGAATAAACTAACGTCATCTGTATGCACAAACCATGTCTAAAATTAGCAACAGGGACTACCAAGCATTGCATCATTGTACAGCAAGGTACTGATAGAGGATGCATGCACGATGGGAACGAAAGAGAACAAAGGAACACTGGCTGCATGTACGTGTCATACACGTGAAGAAAACATGAATAACACAGACTATGAATACTAGTAGTGAATATATTCGTACAAGCCAGCCAAGCCACCCACACACTGTGAATGTGACCGCAAACCAGCATCCAGACATCATCCATGGCGGCGCGTGAGCAAAACCTCTGACTAAGAGATTGCTCATGAAACGTTCACTATGCGTCGGTGACACAACGTGCTGGTAACAAAGGGACCACACGTTCATTGGCAGATGGAGCAAGTGTCATGACAGCCTGACACCAATCTACTGATATGCATGGAACTATGTGTAGCTTTAGCCACAGGCTACACACCTGGGACAGGCAAACTTCCCGAAAACTCGTCCTAAATACTGTTGTCACTCAAAATCATCGACATAACATGTTGTCCAAAAGGTACACAACTAGGTCAGCCACAGCCAGAGCCTGCATTTACTGGACATCAAGCCGTTCACCGTGCCATGAAGACACATTCTCGAGAGAATTTCCATGCACCCCGGAGACTGACACTCGGATTACAAACTCCCAAGCAAAGTTACTCATCCCGACAAGGTTCCCTCTTCCCTGTTGCCACCAACCAGGAAACTGCAGGACAGACAAGTGTCCACATTAGCATCCTTCTCAATGTCCTCCATCACAAACATGCTAAAACTCACTAGCCATGCCAAACAGAAAGATGCAAGCTTGCAAGCTGCATCACCAATACGCCATGACTTGTATTGGATCAAGGAGGATAGGAAACAAAGAAGGGTGGGTGTTTCTTCATTTGGGAAACAGAAGCATCATGCTCCCAGAGTTCATGCAGCAATACGTCCGTCTTGTGAATCCAGAAATATGCCAGCTAGCAGTTCACCTTGATCAACATGATCACCATGATCAACTTTAATTTTCCAGGCAAGGGAAACCAATGCCAGTATGGCTACATTCAGCACTGTTGCCTGATATCAAGCAAATACTGCAACATACACCGTATAGCGTACACACATAGTACACACACACACACACACACACACACACACACACACACACACACACACACACACACACACACACACACACACACACACACACACATTGTGAAGAGTGCGGTATACATCAAAGACAATGAGGAAACCCACTGCCAGAGATGAGAGTACTAGTACTAGTATCTAACTCAGTGGAAAGTAAGTGAGTGGAAAGTAAGTGGGTGAAAGTAAGTGCCTGGAAAGTAAGTGAGTGGAAAGTAAGTGGGTGGAAGTGACACTGCACTACTAACAGTGAGAACAAGGAGCAGCCAAAGACGGAGCCTATCTGAACCAAACACCCAGCAGCAAAGAGTCACAGGACACACCCGTGCACAATGCTGCACAGTATTTTAAGCTGGATCACTCTAAACGCCAGGCCGCCGCTTAGTTGTCCTTTCTGGAAAATCAGGTACAACATCTGTGACAAACTGAAGCCCATGTTTTAGACGAAACATGACAAGTAAGCGCAGGAAGTGGCACACACCATTCTCCTATGATCAACACATTGAATTGCGCACCAAGCACCGGTGTGTACAGACCGCATGAACCACATCACACTTCGGGCATTAACGTTGTCCCTATACTGTCCCCATACTATTCCCATACCGTCCACATACTGTCCATATACTGTCTACATACTGTCCACATAGTACGAAGAAGAAAAAAACGAGCCACTTGGTTGTCAGTAAGAAAAAAGTGTGGTACAGTGAAACCTGTCTAAGGCGACCCCTCAAGGGACGAGAAAAAGTGGTTGCCGTGGCCAGGTGGTCTTCTTATCCAGGTTCAGTGGGTCACGTGACCATATCCACATGTGATACATCATTTTGATCAGTGTATCACAGTGCACACACCTATGCTACTCTAGCACGACTCATTTGCCTGGGGTCCTCAGACCTGTCAAGTGTCGTACATGCACCATGTACATCTACACTTCCTGCACTGATGTGTAGATCTACCATGGATGGTGCACCATGCAATGTATACATTTACATTGTACTAGCACTGTGCAACGCGGTCGCGGGTGGGTAGTCGTCGGCCGCGTTGAGCGAGTGGTCGCCTTATCCGAGCTGTTTTGAATGTGAATGCGTCCGTGACACAAGGAAAAGTGGTCGCCATATCCGAGTGGTCGCCATCACAGGTTTTACTGTATTTCCAAGTGCATTACACGATGATTCACCCATTGGACTTGGCATGCCTGAACTGCACACAGAACATGCCTGTATATCCGGCATCGAATCTCTCCGCCGATTCAACTCCTGTTGTAGTGCTGCGCTGAGCAGAGTGAAGTAGGATGAACATTGATTTCTTACATACATTTCTGGCGGGCTGATCTATTAGTGACTCGCGTGCAGGCTTGCTGTGGTAAGTAAAATGACCGAATGGGAAAGCCGAGTCCCTAGCGCTGATACCTGTGACACTGTTTCTGCTGTGTATCTCTTTTGTGCTGTATTCATACTCAGATATGGACAGTGGAGAACAGTGGGTGTGCTCGTGAGCTGCTGGCTGTTAGCAGTGGCCTGTGCCGCCAAGCGTGTTTGCTGCCCTCACCCTCTCGGGCAGGCAGGGACAGTTTTAGTAGGGATCGTCCGCTCGTTGCCCTGGTCCAGCAGGACTCATCCGAACGGTAGGTCAAGAAGCATCAGATCGTTCAGCTCTGCAGATTTGCTGTTACTACCTCAATCCAGTACACTGTGGCAGTACACTGTGGCTGTAGGGGTGGCCTGCATTGCTTGTGTGTACGCCTACTGGCTAAGCATTATAATATTATTACAGTATAACTCCCCAGATCCGGGCAAGTTGGGACCTAGCACTGCCCGTAACTAGGAATTGCCCGTAACTCAGATCTTGCATGCTTACTGCATGCTTTACTGCATGCAAGTAAAACCTTTTTTTTATGCGAATCAATAGTTTTTGGGGCCGTTTTTCGTTGAAAAGCCAATTGTTGTGACTCTAGATGGGTCAGAGACATGCCTGGATTAGGTGCATCCGGATTAGGGGAGTTTTACTGTACATTAACAGGTCTCCTACTGTGCATGTCAATCCTTGTGTATTATGAGCTGGCTGTTTACAGTGGGTTTCGACCAGCCTGGCTGGCTGAGTTTTCTGATGAACTACTACGGAGGGAACCCATCCTGACATGCTGAAGATACGTGTTTGAAAAAGGCCATCTAGACGCTCCAGCCCGACCAAGCGGACTGACATTGGTCTGAACGCAGGGCATACTTTGGCTGCTATGTGCTGTTGTGTGCGGCAGGCTGAAGAGACGGAGTGTGGAGTGCCTGTTTAGCTCATAGCTGAGTCACCTATCATCATACTTTCTCTGTGTTGCACGGTGACCATGCTGAACACGAAAGCGTTCATATCACTCTGCTTTTTGCGTGTTCTAGAATGTCGTCCTCGGAGTCTGGTGGCAGTATGTTGAGGGCTGTTTGTTGTTCTGTCTTGTTGCTCTCTATTAGGCCGAGCCAAAGAATATACTTGATGATTGTCCTTTTTTTTCAGAAAAAATGGGGAGGGCAGGCGGATTTTATTTTCATTTTTGTATGCTTTATTGCTGGATCACTGATGGTGTGTTTGGTTGGTACGATCTAGAACAGGATCGAACATCTGATGCACATGGAGCAGCCTCATGCCAAGCAAACTGTACTCTAGACAACTTCACGTAGGGCTGAAACGAATGCTCAATGAAGCGAACGAATATTCTTTGTCCGAATACACATGGAACGAAGAATATTCCGAATATTCTAAACCATGCAATATCCATGGATACCTAGTTGTATCCATGGTAACCATAGACCATCAATTTCTGGCTACCTCATTTACAAGAGAGATATTTGAAAAGGATATTATTACCATTTGTCTCGCTGATGATAACACATGGAACGAGACAAGCCTACTCATATTCTGCACCACATAAGCCTATTCGATATCTAAAAGGCGAGTTTCTGTACATTTACGAATATTCTTATTCCACATAGACGAAGAATATTCTTTTTCCGGTCTGCATACTTCGAATATATTATAAGCCTGGAGCACATTTTGCAAAAAGTGTGCGAAACTTGGTTGCATGCTTCAAAATATGTATACGTTTGGGACCAAAATCGATGTTCCCGCCAGGTGTGACTGTGAAAAATGAAACTGCTCGGTCTACGTACATATAGACTGGACATCCGAAAATAAATATAATTTCCCAGGCAGCCCCCAAATTTGGGGCAGGCAGGGACGATCATCAAGTATATTCTTTGGCCTGGCCTTAGGGTGCGTTCTTTTATCCTGTGCCAAAATCTTCAAAATTTGGAAGAGCGTTCACTTATCCTCTGCCAAAAGCAGCAGACTCTGCCAAGCTCTGCTGGCTCTTCCAGCTCTTGAGGTGGAAGAAAGTGGAAGAATCCTGCATTTTGCCAAAACAAGACCCAAAGTCCCTGTTGCGCATGCACAAGAAGGACTTTGGGTCTTTTTTTGGCAAAAAAAAACACATTTGAATAAACGCGTCCTCAAAAACATTTCCTGTTTGCCGTGACGCACTGGGAAAAATTCTGGATCTCTTCTGACCCGTTCGAAAAATACTCTCATCTCTCCTCTTCCTAGCAGACTTTTCTAGAAAAGACAGAAGAATAAAAGAACGCACCCTTAGTCCGAGTGTTTGGTGTTTGACGGGTAACAGTGCATCTGTTGTTGTGTGGGTTTTTTTCATCCCCAGGAGTTCTGGTGCATTCACTGTCCTTACTTTCTACTCACTTCTCACTAGTAAACTGATGCAGACGCTCACGTTTTCTGCAGAGATTCTCAACGTGCTAGCCAACAGTCGGTAAGAATTCATTGTGTCCAGTCCGTTGCTCTGCTGTGATGATGCATATATTTTTGTAAGGTCTGGCCCCTGTACAACCATCCAAACATACAACACCACCACACACGCACACACACACACACACACATGTCCACTCATATAACTGTATGCACGCACGCGTGTGTGTGTGTGTGTGTGTGTGTGTGTGTGTGTGTGTGTGTGTGTGTGTGTGTGTGTGTGTTTGGTGTGAACGATCTGTTTTGCAGTGTGGTTGCTGTGTCAACACGTCTTGAAGTGGCCTTGCTCAACGCAGCCAGTCTTGAGCAGCGTCTTGTTAAAGGTATGTCACCCATTGCAGGGGCGTCGGAAGGTATTTTAGTGTGGTACGGTCAGCCATCTGAAGTACAATTTACTCGTGGGGAGAGTGGTGGCTGAGTGGAAAATTTTGGAAATTTAGAGCCCAAATCAGTGCATTTTATTGATTCACAGGGTACTTGGGGCAAATAGTGGTACGGTCAATACCGTAGTGACCGTACCGTGTCCGACGCCCCTGCATTGGTACATGTACTGTTCCCATCTTCTCGTGTTGGGTAATGGAGCTGGTGGCATCAGCACAGAACCACGTATCTATACTCAACCTGCGGACAGCATGCTGTTTCGTTCTTTGTGAACTCATCAGCACAGCACAGAGAAAATGAGGCCGAACCTGATAGCAATGAAAATAAAATTTCAAAAGCCAGATTTAAACCAGGCCCGAGCGTACCTTGCCAGAGTGCTCAAACTAACAAATCAGTGAGCTCTGCGTAATGCAAACAGCAAAGGCACTACCCCACATGAGAGTTCTCAACTACTACAAGAGCATATGTTGGTCATGTGCAAGAACATGTAGCATGTAGAACATGTAGCAGAACATGTAGCAGATCGCGTAGATGTGAACATTTTTCACTCTGGAAATGACATGTTGAACTTGGTCCACTCCGTGCTATCGTGACATCGACAATGATTTGAACAGCCGTCACATAGCTGACCTGGTTCGTTACAATAAACACCTGAGCATGCTTACAGCCAGCCTCTAGCATGCTCCCATTCCTATTGCAGGCCCGTCGCACCGACTTTGGAGGTGGGGCGGCCATGGAAGGGGGGTCGGGAGGTCCTCCCCCGGGAAACATTTCAAAAATTGAAGCCAATTGCAAGCATGTCCGGGTATTTGATGCCATTTCAGTGTACGGTAACTACAATGAAAGTCTTTTTGATTCTGGAACAAACGAAGAAGACGCAACGATCGAGGACAAACATTACCCTCCCCCGGGGAAAAAATTCAAAAATTGAAGCCAATTGCAAGCATTTCCAGGCATTTGGTGCCATTTCAGTGTAACTGCAATGAAAGACTTTTTCTGCAACAAACCACGATCGGGGACAAGGATTTGTCACGTTTGCGCTAAGCTGCGATCATTGTGCTTTGTTGTAATGTGCTCCACAAAAAAAAAAAAAAAAAAAAAAAAACGGCCGAAAAAGTGGGGCGGCTTCAGCCGCCCCAGCCGCCCCGGCTGTGACGGCCTTGTATTGCCTTGAGTGCTGTATGGCCATTACAAGCTCATTGAGCTTCCACGTGCAAGTCTATTTCTTAGGTCGTACCTTTCCTATGTTTCCTGTCGCTGCAGTAAGTAGTGTAGCTTCTCCGTTCAATGCCCTGGCTCTGGGAGATCAGTGGCTTGCGTTCACTGAACATGAGGTGAGCAACACAACACTTTTGTCCTTTGTTCTGTATCTCTATGTCGTATGTACAACTAGACTGTAAGGTGGAAGTAGTCTCTATGACCGACACTTCCATTGTTAACAAACAAGATTTTATACTCGGTGACCCGTTTTCAGTGCTCGTTTCACCCCTAAATAGAACAGTGTGCCAGCAGTTCTGCAGCTCTTTGTCCCATGGTAATGTTGGGTAGATTTTATTTTGAGGAACAATTCCCTAGCAAGATAGTTTTCAAGTATGAGTAGAGTACAATTGTGACGCGTGTCATTGGGGGGGGGGGGGATCGCACTCTCCCGGGTATAGCTGTAACCAATCATGTTGATTTCACGGTTAGTAAAGCCAGCAGTAGCAACCCGCACCGAGTGTCACATTTATCCGTGTAAAATAATAGTGTAGGCCAAGGTTTACATTTGAAATACGAGTGCCTTATGTCTTGTGGTGATGGCGCTACTGTTGCCAGCGGTTTGGAGAGTGTATTGTGACACGGACTGGCGGCACTTAATGTGTATGAAACAACTGAAATTGCCAGCACCTGAGCTTGCGCTACCAACCCTGTGTATGTAGATGCATGTAACGCTGTGCTCGCTGAAATCTGACCCGAAATGCATATTTGGCGCCCGCGACTTACACGGCCATTGACGCCCTGGAAGTGGTACGGATGCGGCTGGACATACACATGTACAAGTACAGTGATATGATCGGAACTGGTCCAGTGCGCCAGGTTTGCACTTCGGGTCGGATTTCAGTGACCGCAACTACTTTAAAACCAAGAGTATAGCTGTTTATACAGTAGGTAGGCAGGCTGGCGTAGTGGGATGGTCTAAGACCATGGTTGAGAAACGGAGGGCACCAGGTTCAAGTCCTGCTTGGAAGCGGAAGGAATTTTGCCAGCCGTGCTGCGGCCCACAGTTAATTGGGAACTCGTGGCCTGGCACGAGGGTAACATGGATGCAGCTAACGGGATTTCGGTCTTTGACCACTTGGTGGTGGGTCTGATCTACTCACCTCCCTCCGTTTAGGCGCTGCATCTGCGCCTTGATCCTAGA